TGTCATTTTGACTAAAAAAAAATTGTCCAGTGATATGTCTCGTACGACTTACCTAAATTAGTCACAGAGTAGTGATGACTAATGACTATAGATTAGTCAAGAGTCAGACTCAGACTAGAAAATATAGTCATATGACAAGAATAGAAACCTGCTTGATACGACTAATCTGTAGTCAAGCGACTTGCGCGATTTGTAACTGAATTGCTGACTAATCACACTTTAGTCCGGATAATATCCACTGATTAGCATTTTTTTGTGTCCGTTCTAGTGTCCTTAATGGTACACCATAGTGTGTACATCTCCGGGTCACAGCTGACTTGCATCTCATTCGTTGTGCAATTGGATCATAGGGCCAGTGTTTAGCTCTTTGCATCTACCACTGCATGATCATGATCACACCTGCAAAAGAAACACACAGAGAAAATCTTTCTTTATTTGTTGCAAATTATTTATTTTTCTCCTCTTTTTTTTTGTTACTCAAAATTTAATGTCCATATTTCAAATCAACAAAATCGTGGAATGTTCTAAATCATGTTATAGTTTCCCTCCTATCTTTAGTATATTTAGTTTAGGAATTGGTACATGTATTGTTTGGCACAACAAACTCACTAGTGTGTTGCAAGGAAATTGCACAACGACATGGCTGATACGTATCTATTAGGCCTACCGCACACGTTTTTGCAGCATAAAGATGTGTCTAAGTACAAGCATAACATTTTGTAAGAGTCTCACTCGGTAGCTATAGGCTACAGCTTATTCTTACTGATTCAACCTACGTCCCTCACAACCGTACTCTCATTTCATAACTCATGTCAATTAACAACTTCTTACGAAATCATAGTTTGCCTACCTTCGTCATGGTTGAAATGGAGGAAGGAAGATGTCCGTTTAATGGCTGCCTGACGAACTGAGTGTAACATATCCGTATACACGTACGCCTAAAATAGCATCATTGATAAGTCCCGCTTTTTTTAAACACATCAACGGCGGGAAAATAACAAAATTCATTAGTCAGAAGGAATATATGACTAATTTTGACAAGTATTCGATCTTTCTTCAGAGACATTGACTGCGCATCATTTGTCAAAACCACCACTGATGGCTAATTTGGGTTAGTCAATGACATTTTTATACACGTAACTAATGTACATTAGTCAAAATGACAACTTATTTTAGTCATCACTGACGGTATATTAGTCTTCCATAACAGATAATTAGTCATTCAGCAATTACTAAACAAAGTTATTCATTTTGACAAACAAAGAGGCCTCAATGACGAATTAATTTTTAGAGTGTACCATTAGAGATCTGTAACTACCACTGCACTTTGTGTTTGGATGGTTTGGGCAAGGATCATGGTTTTGGGGTTATTCAGTTGGGGAGGTCAAGTGTCGAGTTGGTTAGGTGCCGGGTCATTCAGGTGCCGTATAGCAAGTCGCGAGCAGGACGCAAAAGTAAGGTGCTGAGTTGGAAAGGTCCCGAGTTGGCTAGGTGCCAACTGGGTGCCGACTAGATGCCGAGTTGGCGAGGGGCCGAGTTGGTGGGGCCGAGTTGGCTAGGTGCCGAAGTGACTTACATTCACTCAACAAACGCGGTACCTCCATGTATGATTTTTAATTGGACAGCAGAAAAAAAAAACATGTAGTATCCATCTTCCATTTATTCATTGATTCACTGTTTAGTGAAGTTATTTGTTGATGGATTCCATTCTCTAATTTTCTCCCACTTAATTTCATGAGAAAGCAATCAATAATGTAACTGTTACGCTTCAATGGATTCTTTGTAACATGACGTGAAAAACGCATCTTTGCAACAAAACGAGTGTCTCCCCTGAAGAAACTTATAGACTTGGAATTTGAAAGCAAAAGTCAGCGAACGTTTGGGTATCATTTGGATATATTACGTAGTACGTACGTATATTAACAGCACTGCTTATTAGGATCCGACGATGTGATAATGTTTGCACATGTACGCGTACTTCGGCAACGTTTCCAATCACCACGAACCTTATTTTTTTGAGGGACAATTGGAGATGAGTTTTCTTGAGAAAATGCTGTACATGCTGGCCTGAGATGGAGATATATCATTCAATGTTTATTTTTGTGAATGACCCTTTTTGAATTCTAAAACCTCGTTAAAGACTTTGCCATAGGCCTACTTGCTACACAAATGTAGGCTTATTGTGTAGTCACGTGATCCTGATTTTCAGCAAACTGCTCCACATTCTAAAAATTGTGTTTAGCAATTAAACACAATCTTGCTGTCAGTGTGAACACAAGTTTAGAAGCTAAACATAGTGTCCAATGCCTAAACATCAATGTGAATTGCTAAACACCACCAATCAATACTATAGGTTTTCTCGGTCAATTTTGGCAAATGAGCAGCCAATTTAACCACTACGCTATTCTATTTCGCGCGAAATCAAATGCTACTGAAAAGGGTCATTCGATTTCGTTTTATGACCAGTCAAATGTACTGTTGCGTCATTCGATTTAACAAAATAATCATGCAATTTAACAATTCAACAAAGCAGCATTCAAATTCGCAGGAGCTTTTTGAGGCGTGTGTTTAGTCATTCAAATTCATTTTTGGGCAGTCATTTCTGGAATTTGTGCAATCTAAAAAACGCTTTGTTAAATTGTTGTTTCCTTAAGAATGTTGAAGGCATAAATACGGTTCACTTTTTGGCACTTGAGTCACTTTGCCGATGTACTTCGAAGACGAGCTTTCGCTACAGTTTTACACGCATATTTCTAGAAATGGCAGCTCGTGGTCGCTACGCTAGAGTGGCCCAGGTAGATCGAGAAAGGTTGATTGAGGCCTTCGAGGGAAACGAGCAAGACTACCTTCAGCTTGCGGTCAATTTGAACATCAACAAGTCCACAGCCAGATCAATTGTTGCAACATATTTGAGGACTGGAAGGCGAGAGATGCTGGCAAGAGGAGGAGCAACCCACAGCAAGATGGATGATGACATGCGAAACCATCTGCAAGGCATCCTTGACGCTAATCCCGTCTTGACACTTCAACAAATGAAGGCTAGTTTGAGTGAGCATCTGCCAGAGAAGCCCCAGGTTTCTACTGCCACCATAGCCAGGGCCTTGGATGGGATGGTGATTACACTGAAACTAGTGGAGGACGTCCCTGATGCAAGAAATTCCCCTGAAGTTCTTGATCAACGCGTCCAGTAAGGTGAGTGGTTCCTGCAGCATGGTGTTCTGGCGCATCTAGTCTTCATTGACGAGACAGGTTATAACGTCTGGACTCGACGCTCCCAAGGTAGAGCTCCACGAGGGATCGCTGCAAGACGAGTCGTCGACAGACAACGAGGGAGAAATTGCAATGTCACCTTCGCTGTTTCTAGTGAAGTAGGCTTGGTGCACCACCGAATCGCATTCGAAACTGTGACGCGAGAGAGATTCGAGGAGTTTCTTGCGGACACAATTCAAGAGTGTGATGCAGTTTTCCCAGACGACGAACCCATTTACCTCATATACGACAATGCGAGGCCTCACGTGCGAGCCCAACTCCCTGAAGGTGCCAACCCAACGATCCAGCTGAAGCGCCTCCCTCCCTACTCCCCATTCCTGAACAGCACGGAAATGGCACACTCTGCATTCAAGGCTGCAGTTAAACGCATCCTTGGGTTACCTGAGTGGCAACAACGTGTCGGAGACAGACAGGCTGCCCAGCAAGCAGGAATGAACATGCAGCAGTGGAGGTGCGATCTCCTTCAACAAGCAGCCATCCAGAGCGTTGATGTCATCACCCAAGTGAAGTGCATGCAGTGGTACAACCATACCCAAACATATATGCCAAGATGTCTGGCACGCCAACAGATTGATGGTTGAGGAAGAAACAACATAAACAATAAAAAACCAGGAAAAACATAAAGAAACACCCCTTCAAACACAATACAAAATTAGGTCTTGGTCAGTAAACCAATAAAGATCCCCCCCCCCCAAAAAAAAAAGAATGAAGAAGAAAACAAAGAAGAAGAAAAAACCTCATTGGCCCCATGTAAAGTCTACTGGAAGCATAAATAAAGAAAACAAGGTTTGCCTGAATTAAAGTGAAGATACGAAACAGTTGCCTAGTACAGTTTATCTGTTTATTCGTATTTCTTTAGTCGTACTTATTTGAATTCTCTTTAAGCGAAATTGATTGCCTCTTTACGAAATTGAAAAAAATTAAATCAGTAAAATCTCCAGTCGAACCAGCTTTGCTAAATTGAATGATGATTGTGTGTCACAAAAAAGAATGATGATATGCTAAATTGAACAAAGTGCTAAAGGAATTTGAATGCCTCAAAACGAAATTGAATGGCCGAATTCTGAATTTGAAACGCAGTAACAACTGGAGAGGCAAAATAGCTTCAATTCGAACGCACGAAAATTAAATTGGCTGCTCATTTGCCGAAATTGACCGAAAAAACCTATAGTATATCATGTTTATAAACTGATGGCAATATAGTGTTTTTGCAGAGTCCTTAAAAATATATCTTTAAATATTGTTAGTTTTCATATTAAATCTGGTCAGATAAGGCCAAAAAAAAAAATAAGTCGGTCTCTGGTCAGCGCGCGCGTCGATTTTAATCATGCGCGTCGATCTTTTTTTTCACAAAATGTTCCGCGGTAGCTCCAACAGCGCCCTCTATTTCCGCACCTCCTCAATTTTGTTTACCAAAGAGCACCAAGGAATGGGAAATTGCACCAAGGCAAATGATCGAAAGCACCAAGGCAAATTATGGAGGACACCAATGTACATGAGGACACCAAAAAAGCAAAATAGTACCCCACCTTGTCTGTACATTTAAGCTTGAAGAAAAAAAAGAAAGCCGCGTGGCCGCGTCAATTCCGGAACTTTGGTCTGACCAGAGACCGAATATTTTTTTTTTGGCCTAAGAAGAAGAAAATAATTGCTTATTTTTTGGGCGGTTGCTTGTCGGCATGACGTCAGAGTGACCATTCACAACATATTGCTTATACTTTTGTTTGCAGGCAATGGTATGCCAATGGATGTCGAGTGTCTAGCGTCACGAAAGATGACGTCACCTGTAGCTGTGGTTTCCTAGCGAATTATGCCCTGCTATTGCAACCATATAAGGTGCGTCAAGATTTGCTCATCTTCATGGGTGTTGCCAGGATTGGGCAAGGAACCCCCTGGAAAAGAAAAAAAGAGAAAACAAAAAGAACATAAAGAAAACAAAAAGAGGTGTGAAGTCATATTTGCTATTACTTTAATACACATTTAACGAAACGGGCGTCTGCATGGCTGTTTAATGGCGGTGGGATGGGCAAATGTCTCCCGCCTACCCTCGGAAGAAAAAAAAGATAAATTGAGAATATGCTAGTGAAAGTACAAGGATCTTCGGGGAAAATTGGCTTTGCCTGCCCCCCCCCCCCAGAAAATATCCTGGTGACGCCCATGCTATTTTTTTTTTAAAAATCCAACCATGTTTGTATTTCTTTATTGTACATGGAAACAAGTTTTAGCGAAAGAGGTTTCTGTGAAAATGGTGGGGTTTGTTTTTGCATATTTAGAACTTGTATCAACTTCTGTTTGTAGTTACGGTATTGTGGGCGGTAAATTGTGGATGGATTGCACTTTTAGATTAAAGGTGAAAACTTGACTGTGACAAATACAGACTGCAGCTAGCAGATTGAGCGGAGACTACACCAGGCCGACCAATAAACCTCTGTTCTGATGACGTCACACTTTGTTTACATGTGCACTTTCCAATGGAGCCAGTGGGGGCCCACGGTCTACTGAGCACCATAGGAAAGCACACACGTGGAAATTGTGTGGAGATCGACTTGCGTGGAAATTGTTATTTGTTTGGCTGATGACAGTCGATACCCGAGTTTAGACGAATCTGGGCAAGAGGGCCTCTTGAATGGCTATTGTACAGAGCAACTATTGCATGACAGATTATCCTAAAAAAATAATGGTTTCGCCGTTGAATGGGCCTACGGGATAAAACTCAAAGCGTGTCTGTTTTGGTCTATTGGCTCCGTGTGTCAACAGAGAGGGCGCCATTTTACCTAGCAACGACGTCCCATGGGCTGGACACTTAGCTGGTTGACGCGTACCGTTCATTGTGTGTGTGCCGTTGTCATATGAAAATCCAACTCCTATGAAAATCGGACCCCTTTTCCCTATTATTGGTTAATCCCTAGCACGTGACAGGTCACTCTCCCGTATGTGATCATAAACTAGCATATTCTCGTCCTTACGCATGCGCAATACTACCAATGAGTCCACATTTCATGGAGTCGGATATTCACGCTACACCGTACGTACACCATGTGGATGTGTATGTACACGCAGTGGTAATGCAGCGCGTCAAGTCGCGGCAAAATTGCAGTCAGGCAAGATGGCATCGGTCGGTCCCCCCCACCTGTACTTTCTTTGCCGGTGAGGGGGTACTGGTAAACAGAGCGGATAGTTGGAGGCTCGTCTGGCATGGTTGCATGTGCTTCGAACCTGCAATATTGTAAACGTTGAAATAAACAAGTGTTTATTATGGTAATCATGTTCGTGATTATAGGTGGAAATGACTAACTCTCGCAGTATGAACCTTCTAACATCCGTCAACATGACTGTGACCGTTGCATCTCTCTGCATAGTTCTGCTGGCTTACAAGTACTCTAGGTGAGTTTCAATTTGTATTTCACATCATGCCGATTTATAAGCCAAGCGTCGCATTGGCATCGGTCAATTACGTAGAGGAAAGCAAATGACCATGATCGCCATTGGTTTATTTCTCTTAATGCCCAACCGTCTATGTTTGCATGTGATGTATTAGTATACATGTTCTAAAATCTTTCAAATAATTTATCAGGAACGAAGGGAAATGCACTTCTATTGTAACCTTTATTCATAATGTTGTCGTTATGCAACTCAATTTGTATGACCTAAATTAATTAGACAATGTTTGGTAATGGAAACTGTCTAGCACATATTACGAAGTGCTGCGCGGTTTCTCTTTGTAATATGCTCTGTGGATTGTTTCCTTAATAAAATATGTTAATCATGGCCTACAGTTAACCTTTTTTTCTGCCAAAAAAAAATAAAAAATACTACGTTTAGGCATACATGTTTTCTATTTTGGGAGTCTTGAATCCTCTGAAAATAGGCTTCTTGTTTTTGGTTGCTTTTGCGCCCAATCGGATCCGCCTTGCAAGTAGACGGCCCTTCATTATCGGATCTGATAGGAGAGGGAACAAGTCGACCCTGCGAGTACTAAATGTGTGTCTGTAGCAAATAATTTCTGATTTGAAACGTAATTGGTCAACATTTGAACCCCCCCCCCCAGGAACGACTCAATTTTCTTGTCATAGAAATATATTTGAAAGTAATCCGACCCCCCCCCCGTTCTGACACCCAAAAACAATTATGACAATTATACTGGTAAAAATGTCCGCCTGTGCACAACACTCGGACAGAGCCAGCTGAGGTACACTATTATACACATATGTACATCTGTACACTATTATACACATATAGACTGGCAATGAGGTAACTAGTGCACATCTATGCGCCCCAAGGGACTGTGAGTGACCAGAAGAGGTTTATATTTCCCGAGGCCAAAGGCCGATGGAAATAGGACCCTCTTCTGTTTTTGCCCGACTCAGGGGGCGTATTCGAAACCCCGTTCTCGTATTGAATGAACACGAGAACAGGGTTTCAAAATATGACAATAACCAACACGCGAAGGGTGATCGCGAACATGATTCTCACTCTTCACTTATTGGGGAGTAGATGAAGAACGTCAAGAACAAAGATGGCGGACTTAGGCCCCTACTGGTTCTATTTGTGTATAACATTGAAAGCACTCAATTTAATGCAGGAGCAGTAATGATACCAACAAATGTAGTGTTCATAGATAGGGCTTGTCAGCCTATTGTCTTTGCCAATTTGTATAGCTGTTTCGAAATTTCAATTATGTTAGTTTTATTTCAATTAATTGTCTCTTCTTTTCATTCGGCGTTTTAATACGGCGGCTGCCATCTTGAATGCAAGGCCAGCTGCACTCCACACGCCTTTGGGTATTTGGCGTTATCCGCAACCCGAGGACACTGTTCGCGGGTCACCCGAGAACGGAGTTTCGAATACACCCTACAGTTCCGAGTCTATTCTCTCCCTTGTTTTTCCAAACAACAAAGGTTTATTCAAATGAGTCCCACACATCACCGGCCCCCACTCTCCGTGTTTGTGAATAAGTATAGATTCGTAAAATTACTCATGCGTACATATTTAGTCAATGTACAACGAATGGAAGTCGTCGGTATAGTCAGGGTCATGTCCCACTGCAAAAAAATCAGTACGTCATGTCAGATAGCGATAGTTCAGGATTTTACTTGACGCAAAATACCTTCAAATTTTCTAGCTCGTCAAGTGATACAGAAACTGATTTACAAGTTTAATAAGACGTTAATAAAACGGGGTCTTTACCCATGGACTGCGTGGATGGTGGATACGAGGGGACATTTCTGTATCTTCTTCCGGTTCCCCACCATAGTCCCACCGAATAGTTTGCGATTTTTTTGTGTTCTAACAATCGCTCAGGACAACACTGAGCGTACAGTGTTTGTAAAATACGTCGGTGAAGGGCAAAACCGAATTTGCAATACTGTGTTTCTTATGGGAAAAACCCTTACCTTTTCTACAGATTAACCAGCTCTCGTACCGTGACCCACGCAAGTCTATCGTTGGCAATGGTGGCTTTATACTCAACGGTCTTTTTCCGGGACGATGAAAAGCCGGTAAGGAAAGAAAACGTGACGCTTTAACATCCATTAGTTCGCTAACGGAACTGCGCACGAAACAAGGAAAATCGTTATAAAAAAAAAAGAATAAAAGAAAATCAATAGAGTTTTGGAGCTCAAGTCATTTAAAAATACTAAATAAGTGCAAATTATCGCATCCAAAGGAGGAGAACTCCAGGAAAAGAAATGCACTATTATTATTATGTTTTAAGTCGCCACATTGTAATGTTATAATATATCAGCAATACAAAAATTGCTTCTTTTTCATGAATGTTTTTGTTTTCTGCAGGTTATCTGCACCACCGTCGCCATTTTGTTTCACTTCTTCATGCAAGCTACTTTCATTTGGATGGCACTAGCAGGCGCTCTTTTCTACCTGACGTCACACGATGAGCACACATCTACTTCACGGATCCGACCACGTGCATTATTGCTGACAGGCTGGGGTAAACTATCATCTTTATTAAACCCCTGGCGATGGTAGCGGTACCGCTGCTTTTAAGGTACCTGTATTTCCCACCAAGTGGCTTTGATAATGAGCCATGGGCGGATCCGGGGGGCAACGGGGGCCATCCCCCCCCAAAAAAAAAAAAAAAAAAACACACACTATTTTCCTTTTATGTGGCGTCGCAATAAAGGCAGGCACTGCCTTTACCACCATCTTTTCCTCCAAAAGATTTGGTTAAAGTGGTCAGAAATAGCCTCAAATCACAACACAGAGCATCTAGAAAATCCAGAACTTTTTTTCGGGGCCCTTAAACGGGCCCCGAACCCCATGCCATAATTTTTGGGTCCCACTTTTTCCACTAACCGTTTTGTTCGAAAAAGAAATAAAGACAGATTTATCAACAATTCTTAACACTTGTTGGGTAATCGTGCCCGACCGTGCACTCAATTAATCTGAAACATTTCCACCTTTTCTCATACTGATACATTATCGGTTGATTTTTGATACGTTATCGGTTGATACAGTATCCGTTCCGTGGTGATACATTATCGGATACATTTTTTTGGGGTAATTACATTATCCGTCGACACGTGATACATTATCGGATACTAATTTTACTACACTCTCAGCCAATTTTTGCTACATTATCTGTTAGTGATATGTCATTGTCTTCTCTCTACAGGTTTCTTCAGGCTTGCGGGCGAGCACAGTGCTTAGGGCGCTTTTGAGGAATCCTCGGATTCATTACCAGAAATGATGAATACTACTTCTAATAATAATAATTAGAAGAAGAAATTGAATAATACACTAGTTCTCATCGTCTGCAAATGCTGCCCAACTAAATTTAGTGCAAAATATACGGGAGCCCAGAGAGGCCACATAAAGCTTATATTCATCGCTACCCCATTTAAAAGCACGTTAAAATTGTGCAGCAGCATGATTCCAGTCAAACCAGTGAGTTTGGCAGTTTTGAGACATCATCTTACATTGAAAAAACAATAATAATTTTGCCGACGCGCATGGCTACGACGACGCGCGCGCAAACCAGAAACCGGAGACTTTTTTTGCCATAATAATAATAAATATTATTTAAAAATGCTTTACATGTTACTAAGACATAAGCGCTGTACAGTTCATTAGAAAGAAAAAACAACAACAGCACTTAATAAAAACAAGTATATACAAGTCATTTAACAATTACCTTATTAAAATACTGTTATATTGTTAACCTATTTTTGTTTAAAGTTGTGAATAAGCTATAAACAATACATGATGAAAAGTTGAGAGATTTGAAGGATATTGACCAATCACCGTTTGCGAGTTGGCAACGCCCCTTAGACAACCCCATGGAATGTTTGTACGCTGAGTTTTGTTTGTCTCAGATGTTGCGCGTTCCGCGTCCATTTGTATATCATGTAATTTGACAATATTTTTTACAAGCTGCGTTGAAGCAATTCTACCGCGATAGGTCAATTGTTCATATTACCACCCCCATCTCTGGATCCTGTCAATACATCTGCATATTACAATCAGCTCATTAGCATATTACCGTACACTATCAATTACATAGGAGTAACTTAGGCATTTCCCCCTGATGCACGAGTGATACTATTAACCACATAACAAACTGCTTTCAAATGTTACATATCTGCATGGCATACAACACGAGAACAAAACATGTTTAGTGGCTATACAAAAGTAAGTTATCACGCTGAGTGCACGGAGCAAATCTGCTTAATTTTACCTACAAGGAATGTTGTGGCGTGGCTGGTCGATAGATGTGGGTGAAGTGAAGTCTATCACTTTTCCCTTTAAGTGAAGAGAACACCGCGCAAACCGATCTTGTTTATGAGTTAAGTGTGGCACGGAGACTATACAATTAGTCGCGTGTTTTTATAAATTCTCCTCCACACGTCCTTTGTTAACTCGTAAGTGAACGCGAAGCCTAGCCACATATCGCCACCAAAATTTCCTGCGGGCAAACAAAAGGCACTCCCATTACGAAACATTCGACTTATCCAAATGCTGCCTAATATTAATACCTGGCCAATTATTTCGTTGCCATTTTTTTTTGAATGCAGGGTTCGCTGTAGTAGGGATGGTGGCTTCATTCGCAAGTGGTCTTTGTGGTTGCGCAACAAGCACAGGAAGGTAATGTGCAATATTCACAAGGACTTGGAAACTGTCACTCAGGCTAGTTTGGTTTTTCTTAAAAGCAAGCCTAATTTCCTCTTCGTATCTATCCCGCAGAATGACACAGTGACTGACTAACTACATGTACATAACTTGAGACTCAACCTGGTTGTAGACTAGTGAAGAGTGCTGGGCAGTGCTATTGCATAGGATTACCTAGTAATGGGCCTAATCTGGTCCAGTGTGTAGACCAGATGCATGCACGGAATTTCAGTTAAAATCCATTCTGAATGAATTGAGTGAAATTGTGTGTGGTCTATTACCAGCTGTACTGGGCTTTATATCATGTGCTATTACAGTATTTCATGTCATTCTCTGCAACAGTTATCAAGAGAGATACATCTCATGACCATTGGCTGGATTGCTCATTGGCCTTACAAAATGCAAAATACAATAGGAGCAATCCAGCAAAGACAGTTTATTGTACCGTGGACTGTTTTTGCTTAAAGGGAAAATACAACATTTGCAAACATCAAAAAATTAAACTACCAAATCATTTTGAAATACCTTGCTGGACTGTTAGTGAATGACAGTGTAAAGCATCCTGTAAAATCATGGCACCGGGTATACTGTCATTTTCAAGAAAAGTGGTATTGTTGTATCAATTTCCAACGCTGATCGGCCGACCAGCGTTGGAAACAACTGGCTTTTTTTCAAATACTGGCCCCAATTGACCATCACACTTGTTTGCAATCGATTACAAACCTATGAACGGGTACGAGCCAGCTAGACTGGTTCCCTGACCTTACGATTCCCCAATGTATGTAAACTGCTCTGTTTCTTGGTTCTTATAGCATTTTCGAACCCAAAACCTCAAAAAAGTCAGTGTAACTATACTTATTTGCTATATATTTCCAACCCCCCAATTCCATCCATTTCTGAAAATTACAGCAAAAGCAAATGATGTATATTCCCTTTAATTATGTGCGATGCACATAATTATATCCCCCAACTCGTAGGAATTGGTGTAACATAATTTCTAATTATTCCATGTCATAGCGCCCTCTGTGTTCCTCATAACATTATTTGTACCAATGAACTCAACGCCTTTTTCACCATCTTTAGTTTAATAAGAAACATATCAAGGTTCTTTTATTTATGTTCTTCTTTTAAAGCTGCTGGTTGTCTAGTGGTGAGGCCTTCGTCTGGGAACTCATGGGTCCCATTGTATATATGCTTGTTGTAAGTATCAATAATTGTTTGCTGGTTCGAGATGGACCAGACATCTTTGTACGTGACTAACCAACTCAATTACTATCAATTGTGAATTAAACTTGTTGAAATATCAGCAAAACCCCAAGGTTTAAAATAGGAGTATCGGTTATGCAATTGCATGGGCTAAATCTGGCCCATTGTGTAGGCTAGATGCATGGAAAGACTCCAGTGAATAGCCATTCGGAATTGATTGAAAATACTTCTGCGCGCTCTTGGACCAGCTTTACCAGGCTTACTTGTCCTTGTTAGTCTGAACATGTACTGGATGGATTTCCACCTTAATAATATGTAGTAGAAACATTATAGGTAAACGCATTTTAGACGTCTTGTTTGTACACAATAACCAATATTCTAACATCCATGATTATCTATTGTATACCACTATAACAGCGTGGTGTAATATTCAGCAATTCATATTTAAAGAAAACTACTATCGCATCTGTTTGTTTTATGTTTCATATGCTGTTCAGATCAAAACTTTGATAACTTGTCGGTTGACCAGGTGGGGAGGATTGCAAGAGAAAAAACTTAACAATCAGGAGACGATCAAAATAAGGTAAGAAAAATAAAGTCAGAGTTGGACTGAGATTGGACTAAGATTCGCATGAATCGTCAGGTTTTCAGACTGCATAAACTTTATCCACACGTCACACATTCTCAATAAATGCACCGATTTAGTTTTGTTTCAAGCTTCATAACGAGATTGTAAACTGCAATTGGAAAAGCTTTGTGTACATCGTTCTTAAAATGCTATGTGTCAATGTCTGTAGTTCGATTAGTTTCCCATTGATTTTCCGAAATGATTTCGTTTTTTCTTGTCATCGTGAAGGACGTCACCTGTCAGAATATTTTAAATGCTATCTTTCTTGAAATCAAAATTTGGAAACTAAATTGCAAAATTAAACAACTTATCTAAAGCTATCTCCATGCTGTCATCAAAAGCTAGCAACCAAAAACCCACTGAGCAACTATGAAGTGAACCAAACACGTGCTGTACGTTGGCAATATATGTTTGATATCGCTCACTCTATGCCAAAGTAACAATTGAGCCAAGAAAGGGTCCAGAAACAAAATTGCCAAATCTTCTTTCTACATATACAACAAAATGCAACCCTAAAACTTTGCCTTAAAAAAAAAGGAATTGATGGAATTTTACGTTTTGGGTGTCAGATTAAAGCTGAGAGCGTTGTCTTTTGAATAGTGAAAAAAACATGGAAATAGCACTTTGGGTTATCAAAAAAATGCCAATTATGTAAAAGTAGTCATTTTTTTCCACTCTGTGCACAAGTACTTCAAGCAGTACATCATTTTACTGTAAGCCTAGTGTGCAATTATCCTTCATTTGTGCAATTAGTTTTAGTATTTTAACAAATTTATGATGCTGAAAGGGTTTTAAAAAGGACTAAAAGGGATGAGATACCTGTTCAGGTGGGAAATGAAAGGTATTTCAATCAAATTCATATGTATTTTTCTCATATTATGTGCCATTTTGCTTGTAAGGATTAGGACATGCACAAATAAGTACAGTGAAAATCCATGTGGTAAAGTGTTGTGTACAGCATGAAAAATGACTACTTTTACGTAATTGGCATTTCTCAGCAACCCAAAGTGCTATTTTTATGGTTTTGTCAGTATTTGAAAGAAAAATCTCTCAGCTTTAATCTGGTACCCAAAACATAAAATCCACCGATCTTCTTTTTTAAAGCATATGTTTTAGGGTTGCATTTTTTGTGGGTCACCCTGTATACATATATCGTGCAGATAATACGGCTAACCTGCAATTTGTGGAGAAAATGTTTCCCAAATTCAAACTATTGAAATGTCATTTAATGTGTTATGATTTCCCGAACGTACCTGTTTACAGATCTGGACTACAGGTGGCCTCTGTACTTGAGCCGTTGGTTTGCTTGTTGTGGATACTGGGACATTCCTATCTCCCTGATGGCAACTTATTTTTCGCCAATGCATTCGTGACCTTGAATAGCCTGCAGGTAGGCTTTTACGGTTTATGAAGCATTTTGCGTATTTTAGCACGTATTCTGTCGATCTGACAGTATTTGATTTTCATGCTGATGTTTACATCCTCTACACCATTGGTCGTTATAATTCATTAAAAAGTCAAATATTTTCATTTTTACTAAAATTTTACTCAAATTACATATTTTTGATGCAAAAAGAGGAGTAGTGCAACACCATGCAACTTTCAGAATTCAAATAATTTCGGCTAATGCACTTTAACAATACTAGAATAGTAAATAAGACATAAATGGTTGAAAACAGTCTATTCAATAGAGGCAATGAAATGAAGAAGCTGATTGGACGCTCATATTGCAGGAAGTTAATTCATAGTGACACTTTAATTTTCTTTCTTATACTAAAAACAACGTTTTTACTCTTACAGGCTTTCTTCGTGTTTTACACCAGTTTGTTGGAAGAAGACAAATCTTACTTGGAAGAAGACGTAGGTTTGAATTTCCTCAGCTGCTTTCTCGCCAAAAAAAAAATGGAAAATAAAACAAACAAAAACAAACATTAACTCCCCTGGAAACAAGTGAAAAGAAAACAACAACTTGAGGTGATACATTCCGCTGTGTGTTTTTCCTAAATATTCCATACAGTTCAAACCTCGTTCCTTCGTTACAATGCAGGTTGCTACGAAGTTACACACGACAGTGGACTCGGGCACAATATCAGTTAAGGAATGATAAACTCAACGTGGTTCAAGTGAGTACGATTATTGATACTGGATGTACACCCCTCAGCATTGAACCTATAGTCCCGAACCAACCAAGCATACCCAACCAAACCCAGCCCACAGAGGTGCCCTGTCCAGGACAGCTGCCAAGGACAGTTCCCTCCACCCCCTTTTGTGTACGACCGGCCTTTTTTTCACGAGTGCCTCTTTTTAAAGTCGCGCGATTGTGTTTAATTGTATCGCCACGAAGACCGCCACTCATTGTCCTATAGTGTCCGCATTGCAGGGCGCCCCCGTAGGAAAATGTTGTCCAGCGAGACATCCCCAAACACTTCGGCCGGGTGACTGATGAAAAAGCCTGTCTACCTTTCAGCACGGATGCTACACAAATAAGCCCCCCCCCCCCCAACTGTAATCCAGCCCCCACACTCGCCCCTATTGTGAGAATGCTGGCTACGCCGCTGACCATGCCTAGTTTAAACAAGCCCTCATCGACCCAATCCAGCTCACCAACGCAAACAATCAGCCCAGCCCAGCCAAGTCCAGCCCAGTCTCGCGACCGGACTCCAGACTATTTTTTTTGGCTAGTCCAGCCCAAGGCCAGCCCAGTAGATCTAATAAGCCCTGCCAAACTCCAGCAAACTAAGCCAAACCAAGCAAACAAATGCATCATACTGAAATAACTCAAAGTTCCTGACGCACCAAACATAGTTGCAGATGTCTTGGCCTACAAGACTCCTACAAATTTATTCCAATCCAACACAATCCACTCAACAAGTTAAAGCTAGAATACTTTGTTTTCAAACCCTCGATAAAGATACCGTACTATTATGTGAAATTTATTTACGTATTTTCTTAATTACTCTGCAATTTGTGAGGCAAAAGTTCGCACACAATTTCCCCATTCAAACATGAGTTTATTACACGTGCAAGCCCAATTAAAATTGGTTGAACCTTTAACCCACACTTTCCTAGCCAAGCACTAGCCCCAGTAACAACAACCGTCAGCTGAAATGAAAATTACGCATAAACAAATTATTCAGTCATTCCTCACCTTAATTCTTAATTTGTTTCTCTCACAGCCACAGTGCGAGCAGTCGGAAGTTGGTGCCTTACAGAGATGGTCTTGAGACAACTTAATTTCGGTTTATACATTATGTTTACCTATATAACCAATAGGGTCGATAAGCACAAGTTTCTGTATAAAAGCAATTCACATACAGTGGGCCGCCTTTTAATAAGACGCCACTTACCGCCCCCTTTTCAACTTTACGATCGACACCGTTATGAAAATATTACCATTTGGTTGATCATTTGTTTTTATACAAAACCTGAGCAAATCCCCGTCATCCGATTGGTGGATCGTTGATCACATGTCGTTGAATTATTCGTCCCCACGCACTGCGCGGCCGCAAAGCAAAAATACAAGTTCTACAGCACGGTGAATTGAACTTACATTGCACGATTTCATTACTGTCGGCGGTGGCGCTGTAACACGAATCCAATTTTCAGAGTGGTAAATTGGCGGAAGATACGCGAGAATCTCGGTGTGGTTTCCAAATAGAAGAGGAAATATCAGAACTCAATCGTAGGTGATTCTGACGCTGCTAACACAAACAAGCACATAAGATATGCTGCCAAACGATTAGAATAGAAATGGGGAAGTTCTGAACTTTTCGAGAACAGTTTCTAAAATACACAAATTGGATATGAAAGTTCTGAACTTAGTTGTGAAACTTTTTTAACCGAGATAAATTGAATAATGATAGGCTAGTTCAGAACGTCTTGAACAGATTTTTAATAAATCGGATATTGGAAGTGAACCGCCAGTTATTGCCATCTGAAAAAGTAGAACATTGATGTAGGTACCAGTTTACCAAACAATCAGATAACAAGGATTTATGCAGGTGTTATATAAAACAAATAATACATGTTTCAAATTCGTGCAATGGAAAAAATAATTTCATTCGGTGACAGATGTATGTTGCATTCCACGCGCCTTCGCCTCGTAGAATGGAACATTCATCTCTCACCTCATGAAATTATTCTTACCATTGCACTCACTAACATTCATTGTTTGTATACCATTATTCAAGCGCGGTACTTATTAAGTCACAATGCTTTTGGAAGCATTGTGAAAACTCGTTATTCACAGATAGAATGAACCTGGAACCATGCGTGTGCAAGGACAAAACGCAGCCCGTTGAATACTTAACATGCCCGCAATTATTTCCAAGTGGCGCACTGCACCGTGAATTGCCCATTATTGAAGAAATATCAAAAAATGAACAAGTTTATTTCAATATAAATGTATATATGCTGTAAGTATTTTAATGTTGCTGCTTTGCTGATGTTTTTTTTTTCTGTTGGAATCCGACGAGTAATTACTATGTATATTTTCTTCAACTACAAGGTATAATGTAGCGCCTTTAGCACTAATGTGTTGGTGGATACGTGCGCTTTTAAAATGACAATAATTATAACAATAATGAGTGTTATTATTATCGTCCATTACCACCCAGTATCAAGCAATGAGATGGAATTCAAATCAAGGGTGAACAGGGAAACTGAAGAACAAAGGATTATTCAAAGACCAGACTATATTTAAGGAGGCCTTAACCCTAAAGGGGCCGGGGGGGGCGGAATCCGCCCCCCCCCCCACTCAACATTTTCCGTGATAGCCTCTAAAAAAAATTTTTCGCGACCCGAGCTGTTATGACTTTTTAGCCTCGAGCTTTGCGCATCTTTTGATACCAAAAACATAAAAATCGGACCACGGGTTGCCGCGAAGCGAAACATTTTCCGGCGCTACGCGCCGTGAAAACTGAATTTTCGCATATACGTCGTGTACACAGAGCAGAATTGCTATTTGTACATATGAATAAATAATTAGCCATAATTCCAAAACCCTTTGACCTATAGTCATGAAATTTCTTGGGTATGTTTAGGAAGAGTTGCTCTATACATGTGCCGAGTTTCAAAATTTTTCGTTACTCGATGGCCGAGATCTTAGGGGGGGGGGCGGAATCCGCCCCCCCCCCTCCCCCCCGCCTGAGAGATGGTCAAAATAACCCGGCCCCTTTAGGGTTAATAGGGATCGTGGCTTTAATTGTCGCACTTCAAAATTAATAATTGATTGATCAACACCTTCTGTTTTGACTGTACATATACCCGTGTAGAAAATGTGTGTGATGACAGTTTTTGCTGCGAAAACGTATGCACATTTTCATTCTAGTTAGTTATTTAAAGTGCTTCCTTGCCTTTCATTTGTTTGAAATCTGAAAAAAAATTCTTCTTTACAAAGTTTACTTTTCTTCTTTTTAATCAAAAGACTGGTAGCTTTAAAATTGCTTGGCTTGTGATGTGCCACGATGGTTATTTTTCAACTAATTTGTATAAATAGAGCAAACATTGATTGTCAGCGGGAAAATACATACTGCATAACGCAATAAAAATAGTATTCCGACTTATGTTTGAACATTTGATGCATTCCTCTCTTTTGACCTGGTTTCGCTGGGTAGTTGATAACGACATGGTTCTTTAAATGATTGATACGAGTAACTTTAGTGAATACGTCCATGGGCGTCGCGGGGGGGGGGGGGCAAGGGGGTAGGGCGCTTGTCCCCCGCCTCCGGAAAAAGCCACACAAAAAAGAGCATGAGAAAAAAAGGAAAAGGAGGTGTGAAGTCAATGTTGCTATTAATTTAATTGCTTTTAACTAAATGGGCGTCTGCATGGGTGTCAATCAGGGGGGGGGGGGGGGCAAACGTCCCCTGCCATCCCTCGAAAACAAAATGATAAATTGAGAAGAGGCTAGCGAAAGTGCAAGGATTTTGGGGGTAAAATGTGCTGTGCCCCCCCCCCCCCGAAAAAAACATCCTGGCGACGCCCATGAATGCATCTGTAGTTTAATAAATACACTATATTTTGAATGAAAACGAATCAACACAAAACACAAGTACCGCATAACTCGTCACGAAACAGAGTCACTCTTAATGCATATTTGCATATTTTTCTTAATTTCACATCAGATCTACCTGCGCGTTATGTATATTGACTGCAGCCTACTTGGCTGTGAGTTTTTCTTAATATACTTAAAGTGAACTTCGATTTTTTTTTTTTCTTTTGTGCATGGTCTCAAAACTGGCAATGAATACGTGTGAAATGAAATTGAAATGCTTTTGAATATTCAATATAAAGACAAATGCGCCCTCGTGTGACAGTGATGAATATGACATGCGTCACACCACACATGTTTGACGGGAGGGGGGGGGGTTAAAGGCTCATCCCAACGATTATTGTTCGTGCAGAATTACCTAAATCAGAGGACAGTTAATGTTGTGATAAAGCAAGGAAGTAAAGTGTGAAGTTAAAATGGCAAAACGCAGCAAACGGGTACATACCACGCAGTTTAGTAACTTTAGTTTAATAAAGCCATTTTTTCTTTGACACATTTTGGAGGGGGACTTCGATGAAGATGTTTCCGTTTGATTTCAAAGGAGCAGCGCAGATTTTATCCAATGGAGAGTGTTATAGAAACATTTAGTATATCAATTATATTATTACTATAATATCATTTTGTTTAAATAAACGTTCCAATACATTAATTTTTAGGTCAATTCGAATAGTTTTTTGAAACTTTGAACCAGGATGCAGATGTGCTTCATGACCTTGCACTTAAATAATTTGTCAATTCACTGCCATTGGTCTCGGAAAGAAATACACAGTGGCACTTGTGATATACTTGAACCCTAGATTTCTATAACTGAATAACAATCGTAAACCAGGTACGTACAGGTTTCCCTGGCGCATATGCATTCATTCATACATATCTTACGTCTTGTCCTGAATTTAACAATGATATACACATCAGCAAGGCCTTTTGTTTTTATTGAATAGTTTCATTTTTTTTAATAGTGTAGATTTAATCACTGAAATTTCTTGGAAAATAACCTGAAAGTGCAGGTGACAATACAACTTACATAAAGATCATCTGTTGGACATTTAAACGGACAACACTCATTGGCAGATCAAAAGATGTAAAACAAAAAAAGAAATCATCTACAAAGGACAGGGGTGAGTTTAAAAAAGTTGCAGAATTGAAAGTGCATGCAGATTCTAATTCATTATTTTGAGAAGGAAAGTTTGTGGTCAACGAATACATTCGACTTGCTTGGAATGTGTGCATTGGTGGTAACTGGTAAGGGGCACGTGGTGTCGTTGGCGACTTTGCTGCAAAACATTTTTATATCTTGTCATACAGGCAGGTAACCCGGGATATGCATTGAGATCACCAAAGCACGTATCTGCGTACACGACGCATAGCTTGTCAGAAGTAAAGCTAGAGTCGGGAAAAATAATGACAAAAAAGTATTTCTAATTTGTATGCAACGTTTCCTGAATGCGTTCCACACATTACAGAAGGGTAAATATTTTTTCTGAAAAGTATTTTCTTCCAAATTAGGGTAAAGACCGCATACTCTCTGCCTTTGGAAGCATTATGGTATCAAAAGTCTAATTTTCTAAACTTGAATAAGGTGCTTCTTCAACATATTCGACGTACACAATGTCCATTTTGATGGACATAATCCCTCAATTACCCATGATGGGCAATGAAGTATTCAGTGAGCACAAACATTATAGACAACAACAGTGTACTGACAATCTCCGCAATGACGTCAAACAGCTAAGGGGAACCTGGATATCTCAACTAATCTTATAAATCACCATAAACGTTCTTCGAAATGTCTTACCTAGAATTACAAGCAGTAAGGCAACAGTAATGCGTTGAGCGGAGGCACGGGACATCCAGAACGCTGCCATTTCCAAATGTGTTGAAAGTGTGAGGCCCTAAATATAAAGTAGCAATACCCATGTGGTTTTGTTTTGTGCTATTCAAGTTGCGGCCCGGTGTTCACCTATACTGTATTGTTGTATATTTCCGGCAACAGAGGCCTTGAATTCACAATATTAAATTGCACTTAACGCTCGGAGTAAACATCTCCATTTATAACCTTGAACTTTAGAAATGCTATCTAAAGGAATTTCTCAATTAAAGACACTGAAGTGATTGTTAGATGATTATCGCACCGAGTCTCATCTGAAGGAATCGGTTTCGATCACTTGAAGATTCCCAATACAATTCACCGGGGAGAAATCGAACGATAGCGAGGCAGGTTGTTGAGTAATCACAAGACGTTTCATCCAATCCATATTTCCTCCAATTGACCTCACGAGCCGTTCCATCAGGCACGCAGGTCAGTAGTGCTGTTTCATTGACATCCACCCAAGGGGCGCTGGAAACTGTTGGTTGGGCATTACAAACTTCTAATAAAAAAGAAATATCTTACAATCAGGGTTTTTAAAGGGAGGTTATTAATTAATTGGATTTGCATGTTCAAAATACATAAAGAAGGAAGGGACATTTATAGGTAAATAAGATGCCCACTGCCTGCACGTGATATGGATCGTTGAAATTAGTGGCAGAAGAAGTAATATGCAATTCCTTAATTTGTTCAAGCCTTGAGCAAGATTTAGGAACCAACTTTATATTAATTCATTGACTTCAATCAGGCATATTAAGTGGGGAAGCAGGAATATTCTAAATATGCTCCAATGGAAACGAATTCACATTATAAAATTAAAAAATAGTGATTGATTTAAATTGCTGGAAAAAAAACGTTGTTTCCTACTTTATTTATTAATAATTATCAATCACATCCCTCTCTTTCCAGTATAATTTTCGGGATTTAATTTGTGCAAGTATTAAAAGTCTATTTTTTGGGGTAAAACAATTAGGTTATTCTCCGCTTATCTCTCAAGGCCAACATCAGTAAGAAGAGAAGACAAACATTCTGGACTAGAGACGCAGCCATTTCCGCGCGTAATACGGAGATGCAGCCCAATTGTGATAACAATTAGGTTTCTTGTTTATCCTCCAAGTTCTGTTCACACTTTTTGCATGACCAACACGCATGTACAACTCCAGGCAAGGACTTCTTTTCTCGATCTCCGGTGACGACGGCCTTCATTACAACAACAAACTAAAGTGACAACCAGGCAGCGCATGGTCATAGAGTAAAATGTGACTACCTGGTTTAATTCCCTTAAAACTACCCTGGATGGAACGGGAGTGCTGACTGCTGATGCTTCAAACAACCGGGCTTTCGAAATGAACACAAATATGAAAAAAATACTTTACAAAGCGATCGTATTGTTAGTATCACACCAGCAACTGGTTTTGAAAAGAATGAACTCAACTCGACCTTAGCAGTCAAAAGAAATATAAGAATTGGGATCTATTAATGGAAACGAGTGCTATCCGAATGGGACGTATTGAACCGCTGCAGCAATGCAATTTTGACATTAAAACGAATGGGAAAGGATGAACATTGTATGACAGTCGAGATATTCCCTCATAACTCTCTGTCAATTGGGCCATCGGTTCCTTTCCACCTCGACATTTTGTTCCCATGAACAGTTGGTCCGTATTAAATCATAGGCATACTGATATCTATAGGCGCATGCAGTAAGAGTAAGACAGTATTTGTACATCTACCATCAACAGAATATCCAAATTTTAAATTCAACTTATCATTAACAACTTAAAGACTGGTTGATGTGCTTTCAGGATCATTATAACGTGCTGTTTATATTACCCTACAGCTATATTATCCATCACCAGCAGAACATTGAGTACGTGCTAGTGTCAGAGTACTCATTGAATCATCCCTTGATAGCAACATAATTATCCAAGTTCCGAACATTCATTGCCGGAATAAGGTGTCTGGACTCCACCGAGAAAGTCAGCAATAGTAGTTCCTCTTTGACTCCACACCACGTTGTCTAAGACACCAGTTACATCCAGTGAGAAGCTAAAGGTCAGTGTTGCTGATTGGCTTTGCACATGCCGATGACGGCAACTTATTTTATAGTCACAGTGATCATAAGGTACTTTTTGATGTAACTAATTCTGAACTTAGTAAGGTCTCTACATGGATCAAAGCAAATAAGTTAACTGTCAAAATAATGGAAAACACATGTTATGATATTAAGCAAAAAGAAAAACCGATTGATTACTGATATATTTATTGATAAAAAATAAATCAGACAGACTGACTCTGTCAAGTTTTTTGACTTCATATAGATAAAAATTTCATATTTGTTATATTATATCAAGGAACATACACTTTTTTTTTGCAAATTGAGAGCATTATTTCCAATTTGATATTTTAACGACTTTATATAAAAACATTAGTTTTATCCTATTTAAGGTATGGTATACTTGCATGGGGTCACTGCGGTACTGGTCTGATAAATAGGATACTAAGACTTAAAAAAAGGGGTTTTGAGAATAATCAACTCCACAACTTTACAGGAACACAGTGATCCTCTTTTTCATACATGTAAAGTGTTACCAGTAAATGATATTTATTGTTTCCAACTTGTTATCTTCATGTATCAATTTAATCATTCTAAACTACCCAATGTTCAATGACACCAAAAATATACATATTCATCACCATTTAATTTATTTATTATTTATTTATTTATTTTATTTCTGTCTGGTAATGAAACCAAGGATCCCTCAAAAGTGCCCTATGCACTGTAACCCGAAAGCCTGAAGAAACCTGTAGAGAGAAGACAATGAAAAGAAATTACAGTTTCAGAGGTGGGAGGAAAAGCCCAGAGGAATATTCTGAGGAAAACCCACGGAATCAGGTAGGGACTGAAAACCCAATCCACATATTGGCCCAGCTAGGCGGGATTCGAACCCGGGTCACAGCGGTGGAAGGCGAGGAAAGTACCACTACGCCAACCTTAACATTAGTGTCCCAAACTGTGGAATTCACTGGATACTTCTTTAAAAAATGTTTACAGTCAATCATTTATTGGATACAAATATAGAGCTCACTTTCTGAATAACTACTTATCAATTCATTTTGTATAACGGGTTTAATCTTAATGTTGATATCCCTTGTAGTAATGTGTATGTTGTTTATGTATGTGTATGTGATGTAATTGTAACTTAATGAATGAATGAATGAATGAATGAATGAATGAATGAATGAATGAATGAATGAATGAATGAATGAATGAATGAATGAATGAATGAATGAATGATTGATTGATAGTGTTATATGCCTTGCTTTGATTTTTGAGATGACATACCCTAATAAAGGCCTATTGGAATGGTAAACTGCCTCACGTGTTTATGCATAGTTAATTATAGCACCTGCATTGAAATCACTCCTCTGGCTACCTATTAATTTTCCCGTCGCTTTCAAGATTCTCCTCCTTGTCTTCAAACCATCCATGGACCCGCACCAGTTTACATGTCAGATTTCAGCCAACAATACAGACCATCACGTAGCTTTCGTTGAGCTAAAACAACACAGTTGACTGTTCCCTGGACCTATCACTTATTGGTGGATCGTTCATTCTCTCACGCCACCCCGAACTCCGGAACAAGCAACCAGTTCAACCACGACAAACTTCCTCATTGTAGCATTTAAATCTTCTCACCAATCAAATATGTTCACCTTTGGTTTTTCAGTTGGAGTTTCACTTATTTTGGTTGTGCAAATCGTACAGTTATTGTTTATTGATGTAGAATGCGCCATGATCGTTAAATTGGCTGATACCGGCGCTATATAAGTTTTCTTAAGGTTTCATAATTATTAATGAATTATTTAATTAATTAAAATGCACTACATGGTTCCAGTTAAATCCGTTTTGTTCTGAATATAATACTTTGGAAATTTGTCTCCCGTCTCAGCCGAAAAGATACACCTTGATTAAGGTTTAGAAGTAGACGGGTTTGTCAACGTCTTCAGGGTCGATGATGTCTTTCTGGCGATCTGCAGGAGTTTGACTGCCTCTGCCTTGCCGGTCTCTTGCACCATCTTGCTGAAGATACTGTCTTCCTTCTGAAGCAGAACGTAAGGCTCGTCAAACTCGATGAGCTGCCCTGCGTCAAGCACCTGAAAAACAACAACAACAACAAGACTTAAGGATCACTTCGGAAATTAAAATACATATCATCTTATAATTGTATTATTGATTAAAGAAAAATATTTTGGATAGATAAATGAGACACATCACCTCACAGAGTAATTAGTCCGAACACTCTTTTCTTTTGGTAAATCAACATCCGATTGTTAAATCTCGCATGCCCTGAAGTCTTACCATAACTTTGTCCGAGTCCATGATTGTGTTGAGACGATGAGCTATTGTCAGAACTGTGCAGTGTTTGAACCGCCGTCTGATGGTTGCCTGAATCAAGCGGTCAGTTCTGTAGGAATCAAATGTATAGGAAACATGAACTGATTATTTTGAAAACGATTAATAAGTTCACACCAAAATACAGTCAAATATGACTGACGATTTCCCTATATTGTATTTGTATCAGAACGAAAGCAACTGTATATTATATCACTCTGACCATAAGCGGTATTATATAAGCCTCTCGTCGAGAAGATCTTCGACTCAACATTCTTCCTGTTACAACAGGAGCAGGTGGAACAGGGGCAGACAGTTATGAAGTGGGGTTAGAGTAAAGCTTAAGCGGGTTTCTTTCGGGTTATCTGATTGCCTGTACGAGAAATTAAATAGGTGGATGATACAGTTGATTTAATTTAAGCGGAGGTAGGTGTTGCTGGATAATTCTTAAGCACAAACACTCACCTGATGTCCACGTTGGCTGTGGCTTCGTCCACTATGAGGATCTTGTTCTTGCGTAGGATAGCCCTAGCCAGGCACAGTAGCTGTCTCTGACCCACACTGAAATTAGTGCCTCCCTCGGTCAAGACTGCCTCCAACTTGTCCGGTAGCTCCTCAATCGCTGGTTTCAACTCAACCTTTAATTTGGGTCACAAAAAGGCGCTCGTAAGAGTGGATATCATATCCACAAGTAGCCTCGTCTAGTTTTCTAAGATTCCCCATCTTACAGAGATTTCTGTCGCAAGATTTGTCATTGCATTTAAGTCCCAACGATAGAAACCTTGGATTAAAAAATCGGTTCACAGTTTAGATTATCAACTGCTGAAATTGATATACCAAGCGACAACAGGTGTGAGAAGAAGGAAATCGTACAGCTGCAATTGTACATTTTTTTGTCATTATCTCAGAGGCCTGAATGAACAAACAGAGCATAGACGACAGCAGAACACCTAACATACCTCTTCAACAGCCCTCCATATATCAGAATCCGAGTGTTCACTGAAAGGATCCAGGTTCTTGCGAAGTGTTCCGCTGAATAAAACTGGGTCCTTCAGACAAGGAGAACCAAAAGAGGTTACACAAAATAAAGTTCAGCGATAACACAAACTTTTTCAAAAGCAGATACCTGGACATATGTTTGATGTTAACAAAGAACTTATCAACTCTATCATATTGAATCAGCTTTATAATGTTCCAGAAAAGTAGCAAAAACACATGTTGTAGCCTACTCGAAAAAAAATATTTCGCTGTTGTTAACAAAACTGTGTACAGTTTGCTAAGTTAAAGGGCTTTAATTACCTGTGGGATGAATGAGACTTTCTTGCGGAGGTCATGCAGTCCTATCAGGCCTGTGTTGATACCGTCTATCATTACGGTACCTGTGGGCTCAGCCAGTCTCATCAACACTGTCATCAGGGAACTCTTGCCGGCTCCTGTCCGGCCTACGATGCCCACCTGAAAGCCGCAATATGATGGGTGAAAAGATATATTTTTAACAAGATTTCGGATGTTGTACCAGATATAACTTAAACGCTTTCACCAAAGACGAATATTTTCTAGGCATTTCATTTTAAACCAAACTTTAGCTGATGGAAGTATCCAGTCATCCCGAGAGATAATTTATTCAAGCTCTATTTATAAAACTCATGCTGTTACACGTAATAATCCTCATTTGAAATAATAAAAACAAGATTGATAGAACTGAGGTCGTGGAGCACATCGGAAGGTACATGTAAACTATTCCTTCTTCAAATCCTTGACTGAGGCCTGATTCTTACTCTTTTTTTGGCAAGAAGTAACTATAACAAGTAAAGGAAAAACATGTTTTACAAAATGTAGTCTCACCTTTTCATTTGGCCTGATGGCGCAGGTAATTTCGTGTAGTACCAGTGGCCCGTTATCACTGTATCTCAGAGAGACATCTTGGAGCGTAATGGCGCCATCTTGTGGCCAGTCTGGAGGTGGCTTGTGATCGGTTTGCAATGGTGCCTCCGGTTTGATATCGATATACTGGCAAACACGTTCCACTGACGTCATCTGAACGTACATAAAATGACAGAGTGTCCCTGTTGAAACAGACCGCCTTCAAGTGCATTATAATTAGTTGTACTGTTGACACCTGTTGCCCTACTAAAATTGAAATATTGCATCCAAATCATATTAAACAGATCATACTGACAGTGTTGTAGTCAAGTACTTTTTTTCCGAGTACCGAGTACTGCCGAGAACTTAGGTTGCCGAGTACAAATACGAGTACGAGTACTTGTACCTCCGAGTACAAGAACGGGTCTCCGAGTACGAGTATACGAGTACAAATGACTTGTATTTCCGAATACGGCCATACGGGAAATGGTTCGTTGTACGTAATTGACCCACTCACGGCTGGCTGTTCAATGTGTTTGTCTGGACGTGCACAGAGGAAAATCAGGAAATTCGATTTCTCTACAAGCCAATCAATCATTCAAATTGAAAGTATCGATAAAATAAGGCCGTGATAGATAGTCAAGCTACATCATTTTCCCCCGAGTACTGCTATTCGAGTATGAGTACTTTGATGATCGAGCACAATTTCAACATGTCGAGTGCGAGTACTTTGCTGCCCGAGTACGAGTATCGTCATCTGGAGTACGAGTACTTTGACATTCGAGTACGAGTACGAGTACGAGTACTCCAAAAAAAGTACTCGAAAAAAGTACTGAGTACAAGCACTACAACACTGCATACTGATCGGAACGTCGAATCTTACAACCAACCGGTTCTTATCAGAACCTTACACCTTTCCACATGTTTTTACCGCAAACCTTCACTACTTCATATGGCCACTATACAAAGTTTCAAATCTCATATTCACGGTTGCTCACAAAATCAATAGTGTAGTTTATCACTTCCTCTAACATCACTCTGCCGATCACCGGCATAGTCGTATCCCTTGCATCCGGCTTCCGTCGTGTCCAAATGCACGAGGCAGTTTGTGGCTACATGTACTGCTTTTGCAAGGCGACACGGTGAAAAAAACATAGCCACAAGCGTTTCTTTAGGAGAGGGTTTAGTGTCAGAGCTTACCTGGTTTTCTAACTCTGCACTCTGTCGCACCGCCCACTGGAACTCCCCCATGAGACCCATCGCATACGTCAAGGAGAGACCGACAATGCCAGAGCTCAGATCAAGAACTATAGGGGGAAATCGAATGTAATCGCTTAACTTATCCAATAAAGTTAAATGTGCTTACCCAATACTGGCCGCATGTTGCTAAACATACCAATTGCCTAAACTCATGGGTGAATTCCTCCTAAAAGTCGGTCAATTATTGCCCCAATCAACGAACACTTGAGATACTGTTATTTCATGCTAATGTTGGCAAATAACATTACCAATGGTTTTGAATTTGAGGTGTTGTACTTATATGTGATGCGATCCCGCTAAATGAGTCGTTTGTCGACCCTGGTCAATTTTTTTTTACAGATTTGAAAAGAGCATTACTGCTGTGAAATCTGCATGCTGGTACCATCTTAGTTCAACAATTATGGAAGTCGGAACACCAAGAGATATGATTAAGTAATGAAGTGGCCCTATTTTGGCCTGAATCTCCAAATGAAACTTCCCAACAACACTTGAGGTACTGTAATTTCATGCTATTGTTGGGCAAATAACATTACCTCTGCTATTTTTTAAGTGTGAGGTTTTGTATCATATTATGAAATGGTTTAAAGGTACAAGGCCATTTCATCCACAATACATGTGATTATCTTCTTTTTTTACCGGGCTGAGTTGCAAGGTATATTTACGGACTTACGATCTGCGGCCAGGATACAGGTCAAACTGACTCCGGAAATAAATAACACATTGAAGAAATCCAGCTGTACACCGAACCAGTTAGTCGTGGACAGGAAGAGGAACCAGGCCCTAGTGTGGCCGTCCAGGTACCCGTCAAAGTCCGCAGTGAATCGCTGCTGAGCCTTGAAGGCGCGGACGGTACTCAGACCAGTCAGGGTGGCTGACAGGTGGGAGAATACCGGACTGCGAGCTGAATACAGGTGCACATGATAACATAATTATCGGTCAAACCATCCCATAAAAATGACGGACTAGAAAATGTTTGCTCAGCAGTATCTGAAATCCTCACGAGTTCATCACAACTGAATATCAGGTAAAGTGACAAGCTACACCAAGAGTTATTTGTGACCAGTACCCTATCCAGGCTTGGATAAGGGAGCAATTTAGGTATTTTTCTTAAGCAAAGAGGCTCCGATTTTGTTAAAAGAGAGAAAGGGTATATATTACTACCTAAATCTGATGAAAAACAAGCTCAAAATGTATTTTAATCGGAGCTTTATTTGTCCTTCATTTCCTTAAAGTAAAATGTGCTCAAGGGGCCAGTTTCCCTCATCGACTCCCCCTGCTGGATAGGTTACCGACTATGACAAAGGTGCTGTACATCATTTTACGTGTTATTTTAATGTGATATACATTTCAATGTTGAAGATTGGCCTACCTATTCCTTCTAATCTTTTAACGTCGCGAGAGGAGGCTAGGTAGTACCTCCTCGTGAAGTGAAAGACGATGCCAATCGGCAATGTGAAAGCGAGGCAAAAAGGATTGAAGATGGAGATCAGGATGACAATAGCAATGGTACTCAAAGTGATCTTGAAAAGAAAATTAAACAATGACATAAATAGTAAAAAAAAAATATTAATGAAGTCATTGATGGTGAAGCATTTTGATTTGATTTTCTAGATCTTCATGTTTTCAACATGTTACAAATTTGTTAGAAAATGTAATGAGAAGGTGACTCAACTGCAGTATGCAATATACATATTTAACTGTTTGTGTATTGTGTACTTTACCTGAAGAAAATCAGTGAATGTAGATGGCAAAACGTCATCCATGTAGCCAATATCTTTAGCAAAGCGATTCAGAATCCGACCTGGAACCAAAATATACATTTGTCAGGTCTTTGCATTTCTGGCAGGACGTTTACATTTTGCCATCTTGCAGGCAACATGCGGAATCAAAGATCTCCAATGAACCTTAAGGTAGAGAGCCCGTATCAGGTCACGCGCACATTCGGTGCACAAAATGGTCCAACAATAATCCATCAAACTTTGGGCATGCCATGCGTGCAGGCCATGCAGTATGATTAAACAACCTCACGCCCACGATGATGCACATGCACAACGCATAATAGTCTTTATTGTAGATTAAAACAAAACAAGCCCCTCTCCTTGCCTCTAAGGGCACCAATTACCATCGAACAACGTAGTAATTGATTGACCCGTGTCTCACCCACAGGATTTGTATCAAAAAACTGCATGGGCGCTCTGATGATTGAGCCAAACATCTGTTTGTGAAGGGTCTTTGAGGCTGTTACAAACACATGGAAAAACAGGAAGGCGCGAAGAAACAAGGTGGCGGTGGTAGCTCCACACAAGATGGCGTATATCCTGATGTAGTATGACCGGTTCTCGTACTCCATACCGTCCTGATTATACTGCACAGAGGACAAAATGAAAGAAGTAAGATAGGACAAGCGTTTCTGGAGGTTTTACCTGCCACATAACTTACATTTGAGTAATCGTTTGCAGATCGCAAGGATCACCTTTTCCAGATGTCTGATTGGAATTACACGCAAACGTCATCGCTACGTTCTTCGAGGCGTCCTTTCTCTTGTGAGTAGTCAGCACTGACCGTTGAACTCGTGAGGGATCAACTGAACAATGGATTAAACCAGAACTAAAGTTTGCTCCTACTCGCTAGCTTTCAAAACGTCCCTCCTTTTCAAGGCAACTGCCGGTATCTTGACGATTTGATCAAGTGTACGTAAGCAAATTCTGGGTACGCCACCCCTCTTCTGGTACTGATACTAAGCGTAAACCAACCTGACTTGTAATATTCCTGTCCACTAGATCCTTCTCTTCTTCGTTTGCCCACATCGCTAGCCAGACATCCGCGTAAGAAAGCAATGCCTTAAATCGAAGGCAGAGAAACATAAACTGTAGCTTAGTTTGTCTCGATAAATATCTATATCTAAAATGCTGTTTATTTTTTGTTTACTTTCAAACAAACATAATATCAAAGGTAACCATAGTGCCCATCAACGGTGTACCATATAGTAAGCCAACAGATTACTTCCAAGCTTACTTATGACTTAACGTGACTTCCTACTTTAAGTTCATAGTCACAAAATAATAACAAAAACCTCCAAACTAGTATTGAGGATAGACAGGCAGGGGCAGGCTTTCGTTATCGTGGCGATTAGCATCTACCTGTGCACCGACTACGACAATGACCCAGACGAGCAGAAAGATGACACCTGCAGCAGCTCTGAAGAACCGGATGTACACCATCCAATCCACAGTGCCGGCCGCCATCTCCTCCGGGGCGATATCAACAGGTGTCTCAACCTAGAGACAATTACATAATGGATTGGTGTATGTAAAATCAACTGAATAAATTCCACTTGTAGTTATTTCTAACAATGAACTTTGCGAGTCGTTTTGAGCATGAACCAAAGAAACGTACCCCATGTCTGTCTGGGTAAAACGAGACATCTGAACAGATGGACAACGTGTCGTCAAGTCGTTCAGGATTTACATCCTGCTCATTCGCTCCATCGTAATCACCATCTTCAGACTTCTTCTTCAAGAGGGCAGCGAAGTCCATGCCGTCTTCCTGCAGCTCTTGGTAGGTTCCGTATCCAGCCACCTTGCCCTTTCGAACATCAGACAAATATCTGACAATAATAACCATCTTTCAAATGAAAATAATGTTACTCTCTCTTCTCTATCGAGACTGTACAGAGCTTTTAACGTGCATTTGACTGCTTCTCTAAAAGAAAAATGTACTATCACTTCATATATCTACTTAAGAGGGTATCCTAAAAAAACGCCAACTAACTTGATGTAAGTTTATCTCAGGCAATGCTGTGAAACGAAGACGAGTGCGAAATATACATATTTTTGATGTATTTCTATTAATAAGTACCTCCTTAAGGATGAGAATCTTGTCAGCCTTGTCAATGAATTGAAGCTGATGGGTGACAAGGATCACAGCTTTGTCCCTCATTTCATGGAGAATGCACCTATGAGAGACAAAAGGTTGTTATGTTTCAAATAATGAAATGTTTCTTAAAATTAGTAGATTTGTTTTTGTGTTTTTAATGGTTTGTCTTCTCACATTTCAAAGAGGTGTCTACCAACTGCTGGATCTACTGCACTCAGAGGATCATCTAGTAGATACACATCGACATCACTGTACAAGGCCCTGGCCAGGCTAACCCTTGCCCTTTGACCTCCACTAAGGGTCACACCACGCTCACCAACCAGCGTCAGGTCGTCATCAGGAAGCAGTTCGATATCCTGTAAATATATAACTACAAGTTTAGACAACTTAGGGTTATTAAAAAAATAGCTTATTGGCCTCTGTTTCATATTTGTGGCTTTGGAATTATCAACAAGCCTGTCGTGTCCAAAGTACATGAGAAATGTCCTGGGATAACATAATTCACTGTTTTTTCCATGCAGCAAATGGCCTGATATAAAGTCAAAGTCCCCCAAATTAGGGGCCCCAAAACATCCTGAAACAGAGCCAGTGTACGATGCTAATATTTGGAAAGCCAAAGAAGTGTCATGCAAACATCACCAGCGATTGCACAACGCCACTTTCAATGGTCCCCAGATACTTACTCTGGTTAGCGCACACTGTTTGATGATTCGCTGGTATTTGGTCTGCTGGTATTCGCTGCCGAAGAGGATGTTGTCCCTTAGCGAGCCAGAAAGGATCCAGGGCTGTTGAGCCGTGTAGCCAACCCGACCATTCAAGACGTTAACTCCTGATACAGTAGGCATCTCTCCCAGAAGGGACATCAGAAGCGAAGACTGTCAAGAAGTAAACATCAAACACCTGAGATTGTGACGCCTTCATCTGCTCATTTTGTGTATGCATTGGCGTTTTACATGCGGGGGACTCACTCAAAAAGAGTTTTGATACCTCTCGAATCGGTCTTTGACTTACCGAATCAGGCAAGAGAAATTCTAAAGAAAATGGAGAATATGAGAACATTTCAAGCATCCCATAACCCATTCGTAAGGATGCGTGCGGAGAGGGCGGCAGCATGCGGCTTACCTCATGCATACCTATTGGGACTCAAAGTACACACACCAAAGACATGTAAATACGAGCATTAACCTGTAGACGGAAGGATTCCCAGACTTATAATCATTTGATTTACTCACCTTGCCACACCCAACAGGCCCAATGACTGCAAGCAGCTCACCTGCCTGTATGCAAAAACTGACGTCTTGGAGCATAGTGTTGCTGGTGTCCTTTTGATTGAGGTAAACACAAAACAGACAAACAGTGATGGATTTGTTTGAAACAACATTTTTTACTGTGACATAATCAAATAAAGAATTTGTGGGAAAACAAACGATGACACGAAATTACTTCTGTCGTTCCTGCTCAAGAAAACCAATTGACAAATGAATGACTATGGGCAACTCTACCTTGTTCCAAGATCCGTACATGTTCTCCACGACAATCCGGGCCCCATCTTCTGTCTCAGTATCAGGGTCGTTCGCATGAAGATTAGGCTCGTACGGTTCCTCTTCTTCCTCGTTTGCGGCAGGTCCTAGGTAGCCTCCCAACTCACCATTGTCCACAGACTCAATCAGACAATTGGTGTTTTTTGCTTGAGCACTGTTTGGATGCTCAGAGATGTGCGACTCATCATTCTGAGGGATACCATGTGTTTTGATCTCGTCCAATATAATCGTGGGTTCTTCAAGGAACGCATCATCAATGACGTTCTTGTGAGGCTCGTTTGCGTGTCTCTGAAGCTCCTCCATCAGCAAAAAATTCTGGTAAGATGAAAAAAATGTATGACTACAGACAAACTTCAAGATTCATTTGTTTCTGTACACCAGCTATTTTTTTTTGCAACTTTCAATACGGACTTTCTCAATCGAATTCTTTGAAAGGAGTCAAGTAATCCGAACAGTTGGAAGCCGAAAACCATCATTGACGAGGAAGACTTTAGATTACAGGACACCTGTAATCTAAACATCGTCGATCAGAGGTTTATTCTCATCCTCACCTGAATCCTTTGGATGGAGACAAGTCCCTCCGACCCGTGCATGACCGAGAGTGGGAAAAAGATGGACAGGCAAATCCTGGCGCTGAAGAACAGTGCGAGGACGGGGAAGACCTTAGAGGGCGTGACAGGATTTCCCAGAGAGGCGTAGACGATAAATGAGATGAATGTCGTCAACAGAGGGCCGTCGAACAGTAGGGCTTCTATCAGCGCGCGCAAATATGCACTTTGTAATATCTTCCGTACCTCCTTTCTGCAGATAGGTAAAAAAAAACAATTATATTGGTATAATCTCCTATTTTATTTCCTATGTACGATAAACCGTGCTGCTGCTCACTTGAATGAACAGGTTTATTTGCCAATCACCGGACCATCGGAAAGTTGCAGGCCGACTGAGTTATAGTGCCAGTGGTACATCTACACATGTACTGACAAGAATTGTCAAAGGCCGTAAGAGCTCCTCACATCAGCTAACAGACACCCACTATAGATAACAAGTCTCGTCTGATTAGTTTCGGGAAATACAATATATTTAATCCCCTTCCTCTTTTCGTCTTGAATGAGGAAAGTCAACTTACGCTCGGCTTTCGGCGACAAGTTTTCCAAACGAGTGTTCCCACGCGTATATCTTGATGACGCGCATGCCAGATATCACTTCATTCATGACGCGGATCCTTGCATCCGACAACAAGGCCGTTTTGGATCTGAAAAGAGAAAGCGCTTTGGAAACTTGACTACAAAAATCTATGGGCTTGCTTAAGATTGTTAGAATTATTACTATACATGTAGAATGAAGACAATGAAGTAGAGAAAAATCACTCCTCACCTCAGTTGGTAGAGTATTTTGTTAAACTATGTAATGGGTTTTTATAACGAAACATCCTACATTGTATGTGATTCGTATTACAAAGTATGCAGATATGCATACCAGACAATATCACACTTATAAGAGCTTGGCACCACAATATACTGAAAGCTGTAGCCAGGTGTTGTGATAGTTGTTGTTGCACCGTGTGGTGATTAGTTTTACTTTTCCGTTTCATCTGAAGTGGGGTCAGGGAACCAGACTACAAGAACATGATTGTTTTCTTGGTTTTTCCTGCATCACGAACACATCCTTCAAACAGGTCAGTATAACAATAAATTATTGTCTTCAAGATACGAACCCCCAAATCCATCCATTTCTGAAAACTACAGCAAAAGCAACTGTTGCTATTTCTGATTATAGGCCTATTACGCGTTAGAACAACGAGGGGGGGGGGGGTGAATGCCGCTTAAAAACATAGATTATTCCATTGCATATCTGATTGACAGTTTGCTCAAGAATAAGCAAGAAATAAAATAAACCATGGAAAAGAATGTATTTTCAAGACTCTACTTCAGCAGTTGCGTACAAAGTCTACGGAGAGTCAAGAACACTTTCTAAGTATTTCCTAACAAAATTGGAAATGTTTCTTTTTCCCAGATTCATGTCTATTCACCATATTTGCAATGAATGATCTATCATGAGATGACCTAGGAAGAAAAAGGTGGAATCAGGGTGCAACGTTCTTTCCTGACCATGAGGTTTCTCACAGCATCCATGCTCACCTCAGTTTGCAAGATAGTTTCCCCATGTATCCTTGCAGGGGTGCCATGAAGATCAAAATGGAGATCCCAGCGAGGCAAGACACTCCTATTACCCTCCAAGCTAGAGCTACGACAATAATAAGCTGAAGAGGAGCTATCCAGAAGTAGTGGAGGAACCTAACGGCCTATCAAAAAGAGAGACGCAGCTGGGTTCATAATTAAGCAATTCTTTACATACATACAACCAATTTTGTAGGAAGGTTAAATGAGATTCAAAAAGGATTTGGGATGGCTGGGAGCTTAGAGCTGCTATTACGGCTTGTGCCCGATGATACAATACATGGTTGCCGCAAAATAAACATTGTTCTTGACAGTAACAGGTAGGTACTTTGGTCACACACCGTCAATAATTGTTTCGACATAGGCCTAATTATCAGATAATTCAGAACGTCACAAGCTATCGGTCAGATGTTATTTAGATACTGCTTAATATACAACACAGTTTGATGACACCATTATTTTCCAGAATCATTTCCAACTGGCAGTAACACTCGGTGTATTTTTGGCACGTACCAAATCGAATCTGTTGACGTCATTGGATAAGATGTTGACCAGTTGACCGATTGTCGTTTCTCCTAAAGCTAGGTTGCTGAGTCTCAAGGCCTGCAAAATTGAAAACATTTGTATCACTTTAGTGTCTAAGGGAATTCCCTTACTATTATCATCATCCTTATGTTGTCCGTGCTTTAATTACGAAATTCTGAAACTCGCAAAGAGGAAATAATCATGCTACATGCAAGTTATATTTTTTTTTGCTGAAATCGTGTTCTAATGACAACATGATGAGGTTTTGGTTTTCAATGTCACACTTATTCACTTTCATATGCTACATAATTTAAACATCGAGTACACGGTGTTTATACAAATATGTTGGGAATCTAATGATTATTTAGTTATTATAATTCAAAAAGTAACTTATACTGAAATACAGATAGGCCCCAAGTTGGCATTCAGCCGTTCCGGGATTACACTGTACTCAGGCGCGGTTCTAGAGCCAATATATATATTTTTTTTTTTTTTTTTTTTGGGGGGGGGGGGAGGGGAGGCTAGCAGGGTGGATCCAGATTTTTTTTTCAGGGAGGCGGGCTGAAATGAAGACCGGTTCTTTTCTCCAGACACTTAGGCCTACAAAACTCAATGGGGGAAGGAGAGGGGGTGGCTTGTGCCATATTTTCAATGGGGAGCGCTGATAATATCCTACAATCATTCACACTAAGTGTACAAAATGCACCCTTCTCACGACTATTTATTTGGGGCAAGACCCGTTCGCATGTACGTACGTCACATTCTTACATTTTGGTAGTGCCTTTCGTTTTCATTATGGAATGTATTTATTTATTTATTTATTTTTTTTTTTTTGGGGGGGGGGCCTTAAGCATCCCTAGCCACCCTAGAACCGCCACTGACCGTACTGCAATTTCCTACTGGAAATCTTGAATCACCTTTCTAAAGATGATACCCGAGCAGGCCGTCCTAAGCCTCATTCCCGTGATAGCAAAACCGAAGAAGCAGGCATGGTGGGTAATGAGTACGAGAAGGGAAGACAAGGACATGCCCAATGCTTGCAAGTATGCTTCCGTGGTCGACACGAGGTCCGTGGAGAAGTACAGAACCAGACGACTCAGCATCACTGGCTGGGCCATCTTCAAGACGACCTCCTGTTGACAATGTCCATATCCAAAATACATGTATGAGAATTAAGACGGATATCCGAATAAACGAAACACTGATATAATAGACGAAATTAAGAGTATTTGAAACAGCCTTTTAGTAGTTTCTTATACACAAACAGCATGCACCCTTTGCGGTTTGAAATGTTCCGCAGAGAACTTTAATAAACAATTTACAATCAATAGCCCTTCTCCTGATAAATGAAATGGTAGTCGTAGCAGTGGCATAGCCAGGAATTTTTCAGTTTGGGGGGGGGGGCCGCTGGGGGGGGAGGGGCTGGAATATTTCATGGGGGGGGCGTCATGTAGATCAAAACATTGTGTAATTTGCTGCGGAATTTGTTTCTTTTACACGCTGCATTTCACTTAACATGTTAATAATAACTTCTAGTGACTGACATCGAGTCGGTTTTTATATTCATGTAAATGCTTTCTGGCGTTTCGATTGTCAAGTCCTTGAAAATGTTTCCTTAGATCTCTAGTAATAAAAAGTAGTACGATATTCACAATATACAGATGGTTTTTGGTTACCTCAATGAATGCAGGCAAGCCGTGTATCATGTAATGCCAGCCAAAAGCTCTAACCAACGCCCATCGAAGAGACGGAGGCCTTCCTGTGGCTTCGCTTTTCTTAATTTCTTTATTCCACTCCCTGCATGGAAAAATGAAATTCAAAAGATCATACTCGACCTACCACCAATAACATAAAATTAAGATTTACAATTGTAAATAATCGTTGTTTTCCCTCTCCATGGGTAGTCAGATATAAATGTATTAGTTTGTATTTTTTTTTCACTGATCTGGAAGCTTTAAGTGTGCTCAAGGGTTTTTAGACTTGATTTTGTTTACACATTTCGTATTTGGAAAGGGGGGGGGCATGGGCACATACATTACCTCTCGAGTTTACCAACCACGACTCCAGCGGAGTCGTCAGGCAGAACGTCATACAAGTCTGTTTCAACAAGAGGTCTCTTGTAGCCCCGACGGAAGAAGTCAAACATCCAACTTCACAAAAGGAAATGTATTGTACATGTAAACAACAAAAAAGAGGAGGAAACAAAATGACATGGGGTGGTTATACAGTGATGTTCAAGTCACGTTATTGTGTCAATGTTTTATGTGCACTATATGTAAGTCAAGGATTATACGGAACATAGTTTGGGAAGAATGGTAAGATGTGCTAAGTAACTGATTCAGTATTTGTTTAATTTCCTGGTTGAATAACCTAATTATTATGGTGTTTTTGCAATACAATGCGAGTAAAAGCAACAGCAACTAGCATATCAAAACGGAAGGGTTGTTCCTGGTGGGTTTTAAAACAATTTTGATGATGTTGTATCATACAAAAAAATGTATAAGAATATATATCATTAACAATTTTTACCTATAGGCTGCTAACAATTATGTACTGGACAGTTGATGTAAATTGTATTTTTCCCTCGAAAATTAAGATGCCTAAGATGCTCACCGAAACAAAAGATGCCTCAATAGTTTGAAGCAAATCGAAAAAAAAACAATTCACAGACTAACTGAAGTTGGTCAATGTTGGGTTTTGCCCTTCACCGACGTATATACAATGTACACTCAGTGTGTTACCTCCTGAGTGAAAGTTGGGAAAAATCACTCGGGTGGGACTTGAATCCACGACCTCCTGATTTCTATGCAAATGCATTACCCCTCGTACTCGACCACCGAGCTTGCAGGATCGGTTATCTGGTTTGAATCTGATGTACATGTAGCAGCGGGTATCGCAATTAAACTATTCATGAGATGGAATTTGAGTCGGGGTGATGTAAAACAATATTGGATTTTGTTCTTCACTGACGTATATACACTGTGAACACACTAATTACACATTGTTTATACGTCGGTGAAGGGCAAAACCCCATTTTGATTTACATCACCTTGACGCAAATTCCATCTTATGAATAATTAATGTTTGTGTAAAAATACGGCAGCACAAATAACTACAGTACAAAAAGAGGTGGCATGTTATTGTAAGCTTACAGGAGAATAGCACAATGGTCTATGTCCTTGCGTATAATATGGTGAACAACTTATCTTACATGAAAAATAGTTTGGAGAAGAGACCAGCTGTCTTCATGGGATGTGGCGGTCTTCTGACTCCGGAGGGGGCTTTGACGGGCTCATCCTCAGTCTGCGTCGAATCTGAAACATGTCTAGGTTTGTTGTCGTTACGCGATATTTTGGACGAACCGTCGACGTTATGGACCGCCATGACGGTGCTTGAAATATATATGGAATGAATATATGAAGTATTGTATATTGTGGCAGTAGTAGTGCGTGTTCGTAACAGCTATTCTTTGCCAGTGAGAAACGTGCTATTGTTGGAATAGCACGCACCAGTGACCATTACGGACACACTCGCGCAAAGTGGCCGGCAGCTTTCTATACAAAAACCTCGTTGGCTCGGGGTTTTGTACGTAAACCTTATCAGTCAGCTCAATTGACTTCGGCCAAACCGCAGTCCCATCATAAGAAATAAGTTAACAATGTTAACCGGACCATTTCTTCCAAGAGTGTGTCTCTAATGACGACAAGGTTACACATGCGCCAACACGTGTGTTTGCCATGATAGAGAGTTAAGCACAGTTCGGTAATCCGTACGCAATGGCGTACCCAGGATTTGGGTGGAGGGGTACAAAATGGGTTATTTGTAAAAAAAGTGACCCTGATTTAGATTTCATCTTTTTATCGTCAATATGGTTAAAAGTGTGGGAGTTGGTTGGGGTGGGGTGGGCAGAATGTAGAGGGGGGGGGTTGAAGATGTACATCCTTATATACATTTGATAAAATGTTCAATTGCAGAAAAAAAGTTTAACATTTCAGAACAAAAGACAAAATAATACAGAAGAAAAGATAATGTCTGAAAAAATACCAGAGTAGTATACGCACTCAACTTATAACTGCTGCTAGGTACAAAACATAGAGGAGTGAGTGAACGTAACCATGGATTGAAATGACGGTTACCGAGAAAAAAATAGACGCTGACACAGGAACTTCCTTTTATTCCGTATACAACCTGCGTATGATGCGTATAGCATTTTCTTGCCAGTGAAATAAAACAATTCAGAAAAAACTGAGCGTATGCCAGCAGCTGATTTTGCTTTCAACGTGTAGACGAGTGATGAAAAATAAAAAAAACCTCTGTTGGTCCTATTTCCATGAAATAGAGGATCAGTTATATTCCAATTCAATCAAATGGCGTCCAATGGTTGCCTTCAAGTTTGTCGTACAAAAAACACGTGGCCCCCGTAAAATCAAATAGTTGGGGGTGGGGTGGGGTTGTTGTTCCACCTTGTAATGGGGGCGCTGATTAAATCCGACGATATGCAATAGATGGCGCTTCTCAGGACGGCAAAATTGCCGTGGCTCGCCCTAAATACAAAAAGGGGCACTCGCAGGAGGCTGGTGGTCAAAAGGGGCAATTTGTTTTTGAAAGGGCACTTGTTTATTAAACAAAGGCACTTGTTCCAAAAGGGCACTCTTCAAACATATGAGGGGAGGGAACAATGTTGAAAAACAGGGCACTTGAATGGAAAAGAAAAAAAGGTACTTGAATGGAAAAGGGCAGTCGTTACAAAATATTCGGGGGTAAATACCCTCTTAACGCCCCCACGCCTCTGTGTATATATAAATGGTTACGACAGGACCGTGGTTATCTAGCTTTAGCTGAACAGTGTGCTTGATTGACTACGGGAAGCCAGGCGGGCCGTAACGCGAACGGACAGCTACGATGACGGGGCGGGTATTGTAGGTCTGGGCGGCGCTAGAACACAGGGTACTAAGCCGCAAAGAACCATTAGAATTACCAGTGAGTGCGTTACTATTTCTCCTGGCCTACCACCTCCTTTGAGGGATCTATTCGAATAGCAAGGGTAATTTGAAGTTCTTAAATCATCAAATTGTTAAAGCCAATAATATTGTAAGTTATGTTGGCATAAAATTGATTTAATTCGCAGACTATATTCTGGTGTTGCTCTTCAGAGAAGATAATGTTTACAACGGCACCTGCTCCTGAAGCTCATTTGTCACTTGATACACAATTACTGGATTCTTAATTGTTTAAATGCAACAGACTGTTTCTTCGGTTTTTCCAGGTGCAGCCAAACCATACATGACAGATGTAATAGCAATAATTACGAGATGAGTCATCAACTATATGTTGTATACATTAACATAAATTGTGTAGTAACAATTCTTTGTGCTAAGCAACTCATGCTGGAATATTAGCATCCAATTGGCCAGCGCCATTAGTGGGCGTGGCTTAAGGCATTATTATTAATCACTTCTCGTAATGATACCAGGGATTCCTCAAAGTTGCACTGTAGGCACTGTCGCCTGATTTTTCTCGGCATGACTGAAATGAAACTCCTTCAGATTGATCACAGAGAAAAAGCAAAACAGCCTTGACGTTTAGACGTGGAACTTACCTAGTAACAGGAGGAATTTAGTGTATGATTATACTGTGCTGGTTGCTGAGTTGTTAGACCCTCTCAGTTGTGCGTCTCATTACTCAGTCGCCATTATTATTATGGCATTATAGAAATTAAAAAAATGTGGACTCAATATTGATGAACAAAATCATCAGTGTTTTGTTATTTCAAATTGTTTTATCTTAATATTTCAAATTGTTTATAGACAATGCTTTTTAGCCTTAACTGCATGTTATCTGTATTTCAGTAATTAATGTAAACATCTTCGTTCTTTTTTTATATTTAATTAAACTTCTGATATACACGTTTGTGCCATCAAAAGTAATTGGCAGGTCTAATAGCAATGCGAAAGTTTCATTTACATGATTACCCACGTCCAAGGTTACAATTGCAAAGGTAGGCCTACAATCGAAATATGCATCGCAAGATTGTCATAACAAAAATAAACAAGTATAATTGCCTTTTTACAAATTACTGAAATATCTCCATTATTTCAATCATAGTTCAGTGCTGACCACGATCGGTTGAATCTAACCAGCGATATAAAAGGCTGTGGGGGGGGGGGGTTGACAGGGTTTACATTTTCAGGCTTTGACCAACTTTTTCTCCATTGGTTTTGTACTGAAAGCAAATAAGTTTAAATGTGCATTGAGACTATTTTTACATGTGATACACACTGTGCAGAGTACAATGGTTCAGAACCCTAGGTACATTTGAACTTAAAAAGTGCTGGAGCTGTTTGTCGATTTCTGATGGCTGGCAACGACCTTCAATATACAGCTACTGAACTGATTTTATGTGATAACCAGGAATAGGGGGAAGAAATTGGAACACGCACGTGACTTCCTGGTTGAATGCCATCAAAATCCCTCGGCACGGAGCACGCTTTGGTCGTACTTTGGGTGAGGGCGTCCTACCCCACGCACCTCTTAGACCACATCTAAACTTGTCTTGCAGCATCTTGGACATACGATACTCTTCTTATATTGGGTTCTTACATACAATTTTAAGACAGTGATGCTCAATGATGCATGACCTAAGGAGTGCCTTCAAGAGAGTATTGTATGATTTGTTTGTAGGTTATCTTTCTATTAGGATACCGTGAATAATCATCAGTGATATGCAGAGACGCACCACAGCCGGCCGATGTTGGCAATGCGAGGATGACATTATTTTATTCATATCTTATTTAGTAACAAAATCAATAATAATAATATTAAAATGTTGAATTGAATTTAATTGATAATGGTTGTTTCACAGACATCGATGTGGCAATGCACAGGCTGAATTACATGATTAACACATCAATACAAAGGGTAGCGATGTGGGATCAAATAACACAATTAAAGTACAAAGATAAAATTACAACAATGTCGTAAAAAACACGCTGAAGAATTACATAATTTGGCGTTTTCAATCCCATTGGAGTCTTTCTCGGGCACCAAATGTAGTCTCGAGAGGTATATCTGATGGGGTTCAGACATTGGGCCCTCTTGAAATTTTCGCATCCATGTACATGTTTTCAGTATATAAACATGTATGTATTTTTTACTTTTACAAGCTGTGCTTGCTGGCAATTTGTAGCTGATATCTTAATTTCTTCTTGCATATTGTCGTGGGTTGCTGCCACTTGCTGGTCTGGTTAGGGGTGGGGGGTGGGGGTAGTTCATCTTTCTGTATCTTTAGTGCAAATGTTTTTTTTTCTGTTTCTACTTTGATATTTGTGTGCTTTCTTATAGAACTGTTTACCCTAGTTTTTGAATTACTTTTTTTTTACTTAATGATTTTTCGATTGATTGATTCATACTGTTTTTCTTATTGCCCTTGGTTTTACAAGCTGCTATTTACAACCACTTATTGTTTATTTCACCACCAGAGGGATTGGATGTGGCTTTTAGGTCAGCCCGGGGGGGGGCGTTGTTTTCTGTTATGTCCTAGGGTGTTCAGTACATACAGACAACAGTACAGACTATCACGCATCACTCGTTGAGCTAAACAACACAGTTGACTATTCTCTGGAACTATCGCCAATGGGGGATCGTTCATTCTCAAACACCTCTTCCAAACTCTACTACAATCCAGAAGTTCAAATACGACAAACTTCCTTATTAAAGACAATACAATCTTCTCGCCGATCAAATTCGTTCACATCTCGTGTTTTTTTTTCAGTTTCACTGTGAATCTAACATTAATTGTTTGTTGATGTCAAATTTGTCAAGGGATACATGGGTTTGTCTAAGTCTTCAGGGTCGTTGATGTCTTTCTGGCGATCTGCAGGAGTTTGGCTGCCTCTGCCTTGCCGGTCTCTTGCACCATCTTGCTGAAGATACCGTCTTCCTTCTGGAGCAGAACGTAAGGCTCGTCAAACTCGATGAGCTGCCCTGCGTCAAGCACCTGAAAAACAGCAACAAGACTGAATGATCACCTGGGGAATTAAAATACATCACTTTCTGAATGTATTAATGATTTAAGAAAATATTTAGGATAGATAAATACGACACATCACCTCACAATGAATTACTAATGTAAGAACACTTTTTGTACTTGGTCAATCAGAACTCGATTATAATAAAATCTTACATAACATTTAATCTTACCATAACTTTGTCCGAATCCATGATTGTGTTGAGACGATGAGCTATTGTCAGAACTGTGCAGTGTTTGAACCGCCGTCTGATGGTTGCTTGAATCAAACGGTCAGTTCTGTTTGATTGAATGAAATAAATAATATAATAGAAACTTCATTATTTATATGACAATATTAAGATCACTTCAAACTGCTGCCAAATATGACTGAGGGTTTTGCCGTCTTTAATTTTCCATCAGAACTAAAACAACCGCAGATTATATCACTTTGACCATAAATGGTATGCGTCTATACCCGCAGAGAAAAATGACTCAGCTCTTCAACTCAACATGTACCCTGTAAAACAGGTGCTGGTGCAAGATAGGAACACGGTAATGAAGTGGTCTTTCCTAGATTTGTTTCAGGGTTAGAGTAAAGCTCCAGTGGTTTATGTACGGGTTATCGGATTGTCTGTATAATTAACCATGTGGATAATACCATTTATTTAATTAAAGCGGGAGTTGCTGTTGCTCGATAATTTCTAAGCATGTACACTCACCTGATGTCCACATTGGCTGTGGCTTCGTCCACTATGAGGATCTTGTTCTTGCGTAGGATAGCCCTAGCCAGACAGAGTAGCTGCCTCTGACCCACACTGAAATTAGTGCCTCCCTCGGTCAAGACTGCCTCCAACTTGTCCGGTAGCTCCTCAATCGCTGGTTTCAACTCAACCTTTAATATGGGACACAAAAAGGCGCTCGTAAGAGTGGATATCATATCCAGATGTAGCCACTTCTAGTTTTCTTAGATTCCCAATCTTCCAGAGATTTGTCTGTTGCAAGATTTGTAACAGCGTTTAAGCCCCGATGCGTGTAAAACCATCAACGATGGAAACCTTGGAATAATGAATTAGTAGGTTTACGTTTTTAGACTATCAACTGCTGAAATTGATACCAAGCGACAGCCATGTGCGAGAAGAAGGAACATTGTACAGCTGCAATTATATGTTTTGTGTCATCTCACAAGTCTGAATGAATAAACAGAGTATAGTCGACAGCAGAACACATAACATACCTCTTCAACAGCCCTCCATATATCAGAATCAAAGTGCCCACTGAAAGGATCCAGGTTCTTGCGAAGTGTTCCACTGAATAGAACTGGGTCCTTTTGGGCATAGAGAAACAAAACAAGGTTACACGAAAAATGATATCTACGATATCACGAACTATTCTATAATGTTTATAGGTACACATTATGTTTGACGTTAACAAAGAACTAATCTTCAACATGTTCCAGAAAACTAGCAAAACACATGCTGCTGCCTACTCGAGAAGATTATTTCACTTTTGTTAAAGCTATAGTCCATCATTTGTAATTAGTGCATTTTGTTCGTTTGAAGCAACAAAAGTATTCAAAATCTAGTGAAGGATACTGAGCAACTAACCTGATGAAGTTTCAGCTAAGCTTCAGCTGTACATTCCGAAAAAGCAGCATTCTAAGATCTCAATTTCAAATCAAAAGTTACTGAATCATGTTTTGAATTCTTTTGAATTGCAGCTATACGCGGCGTCGCGCACTGATCCGACGAATTATAACAACCGCGCGCGCGTGTGCGTCGTTCCAATACTTGTGCGCGCTGCGCTGAATAACAAAACGAACTACTAATTTAAATTTCCTACGGTGCTTCTTAAGAATCACTGTTGGAAATGCCTTCTTTCGTTGATTACTTCAAAATGACAGCTTCCCAGAAAGAATAATTTCACAGGGAGTTTAGTTCCCTTACTATCTTTCAACCAAGTTTGTTTTTCAACAGTAATTACGCCAGTTACTTTTCGGATGGCTGCAAATGATGGACTATAGCTTTAACATAATTGTGTACAGTTTGCTAAGTTAAAGGGCTTAATTACCTGTGGGATGAATGAGACTTTCTTGCGGAGGTCATGCAGTCCTATCAGGGCTGTGTTGATACCGTCTATCATTATGGTACCTGTGGGCTCAGCCAATCTCATCAACACTGTCATCAGGGAACTCTTGCCGGCTCCTGTCCGGCCTACGATGCCCACCTGAAAGCCGCGATATGATGGGTGAAAGGACGATTTTTTTTAAGCCTTCGAAATTGTTCTTGGTATAACTTGGTCGAATTCACTCTACACAAATGTGTTCCAACCAGTTAATCTTAAACTAAGCTACAGTTGATGGAGGTCTTGAGTCATCCTGAGAGATAATTTATCCAACCTTCCTTGAAAATTCATGCTGGTACACGTTCTTATCCTTATTTAATAATAACACAATAAAAAAACAAAAAAGAAGATTGATAGGACTGAGGTTATCGATCACATCGGAAAGTTCATGTAGACGCTTCCTTCTTCCAATCCCTCGGCTGATGCCTGATTCTGACTCACATTTTGTTTGCATGTAAAGTGGAACCTTCGTTTGCATACATGGACATGTAGTCTCACCTTTTCTGTTGGCCTGATGGCGCAGTTAATTTCGCGTAGTACCAATGGCCCATCATCACTGTATCTCAGAGAGACGTCTTGGAGCGTAATGCCGCCATCTTGTGGCCAGTCTGGAGGTGGCATGTGATCGGTTTGCAACTGTGCCTCCGGTTTGATATCGATATACTGGCAAACACGCTCCACTGAAGTCATCTGAATGTACATAAATGACAGAGTGTCAGTGTATGATGACACAGATAGCTTTAAAAAAAATTCAGCTTGTACTGTCGACAAAATATTGTGACGTCAAAGCAGACTGAATTTTGATGAAACGCTCGAATGTTGTCGTCGAGTCCTGCATAGACGCACTTGAGCCCGTCCCAATTGCATGCATCGACTTTGGAAGTGTCCCGCTTTGAAATGAAATCTTGCCACTAAATCAAACTAAACGTTGGTCGCCAGATTAATATTGTAGTTTATCACCTCCTCTGACATCTCTCTGCTGACCATGATAGCTGACCATGATATCACCATGATTGCTGATCGTCTCGCATCCGACTTGGGTCTTGTCCAAATGCACGGGATAAACTTTGTGTCGACAGCTTTAGCGCTGGCAAAGAGACAGGGTGAAAAAAGCCATAGCCAGAAGAATGGCGTTGGGAAGAGGGAATACTGTACGGACGTACCTGGTTTTCTAACTCTGCACTCTGTCGCACCGCCCACTGGAACTCCCCCATGAGACTCATGGCATAGATCAAGGAGAGACCGACAATGCCAGAGTTGAGATCAAGAACTTTGGGAAAAACATATCGAATGTACTCCTTTAACCAGGTTATCCGCTACACGGACTTTGGCAATTTGTTCAAACCAATAATATACCAAATTCATCACATGTGGCTGTTTGTAGCATATCTGCTACGCCTTCTAAAGTGAAATAGCCCTCTCTTTTGATCATTACTAATTACCTAAAGCTGTTATAGGTGAATCCAAGATGGCGGTCAGCTCAATTCTTAGATGGTACCTCTTGTAATTAAAAGGATGCGCAAAGCTTGAAGACGAAGTAAGGACTAACATCTCTTTAATTACTTTGTCCCTAATAGTTAGTAGATTGGTCTAAGCCCTACATTCCGAACAATAATGGGTTTACCTGGTAACAGTATTTTTTTTTCTTCAAATGTGCTTATTTGGGTGACAGTGTCGGTATTTGTACACGTGTCACTTGTGCAAACACGCATCCACATGAGCAGTGTACATACACATGTGTATAATAGCCATTGTACATGTATATGCAAATCCTTAGCACATTTGAAGCATTTTTGTTTAGTTTTACCCCAAAAGAGTCTAAAAAAGAATGAATATTGAAATTGTCCTCAACTGCTGTATTGTCTTGATTTATACCAGGTTAACTTGTCCTATAAAGTCGGATTTACTCTCAAATGTTAGCCAACATACCAATTGCCTACACACTTGAATGAATTCCTCTTAAAAGTTCGTAAATTGTTATCCGAATCAACAAACGATTGAGGCACTGTAAGTTCACGATATAGTCGGGCAAAACTTGTGTACTCATTATTAAATGTCATTATCTTCTGTTTACTGGGCTGATATAATAGGTGTAGTTACTAACTTACGATCTGCGGCAAGGATGCAGGTCAAACTGACTCCGGTGATAACTAATACACACAAGAAATCCAGCTGAATACCGAACCATCGAGTCGCGGACAGGAATAGGAACCATGCCCTAGTGTGGCCGTCCAGGTACCCGTCAAAGTCCGCAGTGAATCGCTGCTGAGCCTTGAAGGCGCGGACGGTACTCAGACCAGTCAGGGTGGCTGACAGGTGGGAGAATACCGGACTGCGAGCTGAAACAGGTGCACATGATAACTAACCGTCAAAATATCGCATTAACAAGACGCAACTGAAAATTTGTTTGATGTCTGAAGTCCTCACGAGTTCATCAGGAAAGAATATCAGGTTTAGTGACAAGCTACATCAAGAACTGTGAGTAACTATTGCCGTAACAAACAGGTTTGGGTCCATGGGACAAAACAGGTAATGTTTCTGAAAAGAAAATAATTAACGGCCCCAATTTTGTTTAAAGGAGCAAATGGTATATTTAATCTAAAGGGGCGTACATAATTTTGCTGAAAACCAAGCTCAAAATTATCTGGAAATTTAAATTGGAGCGTAAATATGGTATTTTTTTCTTTAAAAAGTAAGCAAAAGTTCAAAGGGAAATGCTCCTTCCTGCTCTTTCCTGCGCCTTCTTCCCCCTGCTGGATACGTTACTAACTGTGACAGAGGTATTTTCTCCATTGTACATCATTTTACATGTGGTTTTGTGATCATGCATTTCAACGTTCAAGACTGGCCTACCTTTTCCTTCTAATCTTTTAACGTCTCGAGAGGAGGCTAGGTAGTACTTCCTTGTGAAGTGAAAGACGACTCCGATCGGCAATGTGAAAGCGAGGCAAAAAGGATTGAAGATGGAGATCACGATGACAGTTGCAATCGCACCTAAAGAAAGCTGGAGAAGAAGATGAAACAATGACATTAATTAACAACAGGAAATGGAGGCATTGACCATCAGGTATTTTGATTGACTTTTCAAGATACTCAGAGAATCAATATTTAAGTAAATACAATTGGTTAGAAATTGTCATTAGAAGGCAACTTTTTTTTTTTTAATATACAGATAATATTGTTTGTGTAATGTGTACTTTACCTCAAGGAATTCGGTGAATGTGGATGGCAAAACGTCATCCATGTAGCCGATATCCTTAGCAAAGCGATTCAGAATCCGACCTGAAACCAAAATATACATCCATCGGGTCCATGCATTAGTGGCAGGATGTTTACATTTTGCCACCGTGCAGGCAATATGTGGTATCAAAGATCTCCCATGAACCCCTTCGAGGTTGGCGTAGAGCCCGAATCAGATCACGTGCCCATTCGGTGCACACGAATGTCTAATAATGATCCATCCAACTGTGATGTGGGTATGTGTGCAGGCCCTGCAGTATGATTGAACAAACTCAGGGCCTCGATGATGTACATATATAACGCACAAAATTCTTTGTTTAAATGTAAACTACAAAAACATGAACCTCTCATTGCCTCCAAGGATACCGATTGCACTTGACCAACGCGGTGATTGATTATGACAGTGTCTCACCCACGGGATTTGTATCAAAAAACTGCATGGGCGCTCTGATGATAGCGTCAAACATCTGGTTGTGAAGAGCCTTTGATGCCGTAACAAAGACATGATAGAACAGAAAGGCCCGAAGAAACGAGGCGGCGGTGGTAGCTCCACACAAGATGGCGTATATCCTGATGTAGTATGACCGGTTGCCGTACTCCGTACCGTCCTGATAATACTGCAAAGAGGACAAAATGAAAAAAAAAACACAGTAAGCTAGGCCAAGCGTTTTTGGAGGTGTTACCTGTCACATTACTAACATTTGAGTAATCGTTTGTTACAATAATCACTTTTTCAGGCCTGATTGGAATTGCATTCAATGTCATCGCTACGTTCTTCGAGGCGCCCTTGCTCTCGTGAGTAGTCTACACAGACAGTTGAACTCTTGGGGGATCAAGTTAAAAAAAACACAAAAACCCAGAATTAAAGTTTGCGCCTACTCGCTAGCTTTCAAAACTCCTGTCCTTTTCAATGTAACTGCACGTATCTTGAGTAGATCACACACCAACCTATACATACCTTTCACGCGCACATCTCAGTACAAGAACACACTTCGCTTCTACGGTCCCAGTCTTTTGAATAGCATTGACCAATCAAGTCCAAAACCTCCATGGGCTCTTTTAAGAACTCCTTCAAAGAGTATCTTATCTCCCAATATGAAGCATAGATTGTTTTTTTTCCTCCTTTGGTTTGTTCTCCAGCGTTGCCATCTCTTTTCGCTATTTTTATGGGGTTTTTTCCCCAGTCATTTTTCTTGATCTAAGTTCTGGTCAGAATACTTTGTCCCCTTGTTTATCTTTGTCTTTGACTTAATTAACTAACTATTTGATTAGTTCATGTCTTTGTTCTCGTTTCTAAAGGCACTCCGCTACAAGCCTTGGCTTATTAGGATTGTGCCTCCACAATATTGTATTCTGCTTTCTATTATGTTATTTTTTAGTATGGAAATAAATGTAATATTGAATTGAAGTGAAGTGAAGTGAACTGGACTGGACTGGACTGGACTGGACTGGACTGATCAAGTGCACTTTAGTAAATGCCTAGGTACGCCATACCTTTCCTGATACTGATCCTAACCGTCAACCAACCTGACTGGTAATATTTCTGTCCACCAGATCGTTCTCTTCTTCGTTTGTCCACATCGCTAGCCAGACATCCGCGTAAGAGAGCAATGCCTTAAACCAAAAGCAGAGAAGCAGAAACTGTAGCCTAGATGAGCCAATTCTATAGAATGCCGTTTATGTTTGTTATTTTCAAACAAACACAGTATTGTAACGGAAAGTGTAGGGACTTATAGCTAGTTTATTTACAACGTCATCCCTATTGCACTAACGTAAATTCACTGTGTGTTGGTGACTGGGCGGAGCGTAAGAGCCTAGTGGCTGAATGTGCGTACGCTATTGGTTGCCTAAGGCCCATAGGTTTAGTACATGCATATGTGTTTGTACGGCGTATGCTTGTTCACGTGAGGGCTATTCACGTGATCGCGCGAAGGTGTTGTGCTGTGGACAGCGGACGGTACGGTCGTGTATTGCTCGCGTTCTGTGTTTTAGGTAATGCTGACGCGCACTGTGTAAGGCGCTGGCCCTGACTGTGCTGAAGTTACGCTGTGTTATGCTGACGCGCAGCCGTACAAGTGAATGTACGGAACGATGCTGACGCTATCTTGCATGGGTAAGGCGTAAATCAGGTTAAGGCTGACAGCGTGTATTACTTACATTGGCGTGCATTGCTTACATTGGCGTGTGTTATTTACATTGGCGTGTGTTATTTACATTGGTGTGCATTGTTTACTTAGGTACATTGTTTACTGAGTGAACGTTGCTAACTTGGTGTGCATTGTTTACTTAGTGTACATTGTTTACTGAGTGAACGTTGCTGACTTGGTGTGCATTGTTTACCGTAGTGTACATTGTTGACTTAGCAGTGCCTTGTTTACATTGGGCGCATTGTTCAAGCTGTGCGCGTTGCTGCTTAGTTGAGCTGTCAGTTAACTCCCAAGTGTAATTAAGTGACCCTGATAATTAACAACCCCATCAAAACTCAATCACTACTGCCTATTTCTTGATTATTGTATAATAAATTACGTTCATATTTGTTGTGCCGACAATCCTGTTGTCCAGGTGTATTTGTTGTTGGTTTATTGTGCAATTAACAGTGGGTAATCACAATCATCATAATCGGCGGTATATTTCCTCCAAAACGGACCTGCTCCCTAGGCCTTGAGGTCGCTCTGAGTGGTCTCTCGTCTTGGGAAAGCTTGCGTTCGGGAAGATCAGCTACACTCTAATAGGTGTCAGACTTGGTACCAACGAACTTAGGTTTGGCCCGGGGAGATCCCCGCCACAGTATCAATGGTAACCATGTTGTCCATCAACGGTGTACCATAGTAAGCCAACAGATTATTTCCAAGCTTACTTATGATTTAGAATGACTTCCTTTATGAAAGTAAGTAAACAGATTATACAAAAAAACCTCACGACTAGTATTGAGTTTGGGGCGGCAGAAGCAGGCTCTTCTTTTTTTATCCTGGCGATTTAGAATCTACCTGTGCACCGACTACGACAATGACCCAGACGAGCGCAAAGGGGACCCCTGCAGCCGCTACGAGGAACCGGATGTACACCATCCACTCCACAGTGCCGGCCGCCATCTCCTCCGGGACGATACCAACAGGTGTCTCAACCTAAGCAATTAGATAATGCATCATTTTATGTAATATCATATCAATGAATTCCATTTAGATTGTATGCTTAGAAGGAATCCACTTGCGAATAGTTTTTGAGCATGAACCAAAGAAACGCACCCCATCCGAGTCATCTGAACAGATGGACACCTTGTCGTCAAGTCGTTCCGGATTTACATCCTGCTTATCCTCTCCATCGTAATCACCATCTTCAGATTTCTTCTTCAAAAGGGATGCAAAGTCCATGCCGTCTTCCTGCAGCTCTTTGTAGGTTCCGTATCCAGCCACCTTGCCCTTTCAGACAAGAGACAAATGTCTTAAAACAATAACCACCTTTCAGAAGAAAATAATGTTGTCATTTCTTTTCTTTCAAGACTGACGTTATTAACGTGCAGTGAACTGATTCTATAAAATAATAATTCTCAATACAGCTTTGCAGCATGTACTATCACTTTATACAGCTACTCAAAGAGGATATCCTCAAATAATGTGAACTAAGTTAATGTAGGATTATCTCCGGAAACGCTGCGAAATGAAGGCGGCTGCCAAAAAATATATATTTTAGAGGTCGTTTTATTTAATTACCTCCTGAAGGATGAGAATCTTGTCAGCCTTGTCAATGAATTGAAGCTGATGGGTGACAATGATCACAGCTTTGTCCCTCATTTCATGGAGAATGCACCTATGGGAGACAAAGGGTCGTTACGTCTCAAGATAATGAAATGTTTCTTTAAAAATAAGTAGATTTGGTGTGTTTTTTTTATTGTAGATATTCTCACTTTTCAAAGAGGTGTCTACCAACTGCCGGATCCACTGCACTCAGAGGATCATCTAGTAGATACACATCGACATCACTGTACAAGGCCCTGGCGAGGCTAACCCTTGCCCTCTGACCTCCACTAAGGGTCACACCACGCTCACCAACCAGCGTCAGGTCACCTTCAGGAAGCAGTTCGATATCCTGTAAAAAAAGAAGCTCAAGTTTTGGTATCAGCCTCGAGTTTTCATCTGTGGCTTAGGAATTATCAATAAACCTGAATTGTCAAGACAACGTGAGAGTTTTCTTTAACCTTTGTCCCGGGATGACATAGTTCAATGTTGTCCCAAGCAAAACGCGGCATAATATAAAGTCTCTCAAATCTCTCAAGAAATTGCCCCCAAATCTCCTAGAACAGAGACTGTAGACGAAGTCAAGATTTGGAAAACCAAAGAAGTGTCATGCAAACATCACCAGCGATTGAACAGCGCCACTTTCAATGCTCCCAACATACTTACTCTGGTTAGTGCACAATGTTTAATGATTCGCTGGTACTTGGCCTGCTTGTATTTGCTGCCGAAGAGGATGTTGTCTCTTAGCGAGCCAGAAAGGATCCAGGGCTGTTGAGCCGTGTAGCCAACCCGACCATTCAGGGTGTTAACTCCTGATACAGTAGGTATCTCTCCCAGTAAGGCAGCCAGAAGCGAAGACTGTCAGGAAGAAAACAATAAACACTTGAGATTGTGACGCCTATATCTGTTCATTTCGTGTATTCATTGACGTTTTACAAGCGGGGGCCTAACACAAGAGTGCAATCATAACTATCTAATCGGTCTTTGACTGACTCTACCAGTCAAGAGAAATTGTGGAGAATCTGGAGAACAGGAGAACACTTCGAGCATCTCATAACCACTTAAACAGGATGTGAGCGGCTTACCTCACCTGTAAAAATTGAAAGTTGAACTACACACACCAAAATGAAGAGTAAAGTAAATATGTGGCAAAAGTGCGACACACATGTAGACTGGTTAGGAGACTAGCGCAATGTAGGGAAATTTTCCCCAGTGAGCAATGTCACAGGGTGGAGCAAAGGGGACATCTCTATAGTCTGACGTCCAATTGGTCCGACGTCCTATTGGTCCGACGTCCCATTGGCCCGACGCCCCATTGGTCCGACGCCCCATAGGGTTAGGGTTAGGGTAAGGGTTTAGGTTAGGGTCAGTCAACCTGAACCAGTGGAACTACACAGTAATGTTTCAACGGACCAATGGGACGTCGGACCAATGGGACGTCGGACCAATGGGACGTCGGACCAATGGGACGTCGGACCACTGGGACGTCGGACCACTGGGACGTCGGATCAACGGGACGTCGGAGTAATAAATTGATTTATCCAAGAAGCTCAATCAGGTCATGTGAAATTCATTATCCATTATCCGAAAAGGCAATTGTTGATTCAATTAACTATATTTCCATTGTTGTGGTCCGAATCCAGGTGTCATGCAGTGCCTATTTGACTTATTTAGGCAGAGTTAGCCAATCAGTTCTTTCGGTGGTAAACTTTCACCAAAACGAACTTGCATCCCTTAGCCTTTAGACTGCTTGTAGGTCTCCGGTTCGAGGAGAATCCACCACAATATGTCTAAGAAAGGATTCACCGGATTCGAATCATTTGGTTTACTCACCTTGCCACACCCAACAGGCCCAATGACTGCAAGCAACTCCCCTGGTTGAATTCGGAAACTGACGTCTTGTAGCACTGTGTTCCTGGTGTCCTTTTGATTGAGTTAAAAACAATTTTATATCTGACTGTGTTTTACACGACATTTTTACTTTGAATCGAATAAAGAATTCGTGGAAAAACAACGATGACACGAATTTTACTTCCATCGTTCCATCGGACAATGTTATGGCGATACTGCAGTGCCGTGGTCTCCACCTGGCCTGAGACATTGAATTTGTGGTCTGCGGGTACTTCTGCATGTTGTGGGTTCGAGTCCAGCCTGCAGCTATGGTGCTTGTGCCCTTGGGCAAGGCACTTTGTCAATTATTGCTTTTTTCCATCCCGGAGTAAATGGGTACTTTTGAGGGTAGAGATTGTTATAGTGGTAGATTTTGGCTGCTTTGCGCCTAAATGGCAGCATCGAGCTGTATACTCCACATGGAGCTCTTATGGTATTTGGAATATTTCATTGGCCAAACGAGCAGGATAATAATGATGTAGCGCTTACTGGTGGATACGTGCGCTTTATAAATACCCGTTATGGTGATATGGACATTTTCTTGGTTGGGTCGACTTTTTTGTATAATAGGGCGATGAAACTAATAAGGGCGACAGATCAAGTACTGTCGCCCTATTCCCTAAAATCGCCATTTGGACCAGTGCTAGGGATAGGGTTTATGGTTTAAGGTTGAGGGTTTAAGGTTAGGGCTAAGGTTAGGGCTAGGGTAATTTTGTGCACAAGTCTATGAAGTGTCCACCTATTGGGGTTGCTAGTAATACTATCGCAATTATACCATTTAGGTCCACACTTCAGCGTGGGAGGTTTACCATTAGGAGACGTGTGGAATTTCAACGTCTTTTAAATGCCTCAGCTCCTATTGAGAGGCAATATTTCAGTGTCGCAAACACGCTGGATCGATTGCTCATGTTCCAATTAGTAAAAAAATACAAAAAAGGCGTTACTATGAGGGAAATTGGGGTTAGGGGTGGGAAAAAGCGAATTATTTTTCAGTGCACAAGTCTATATGAATGTTTCCCGACGTGTATGATTATCGACAATATTATAATTATTACTAAAGGCAACTCTACCTTGTTCCAAGATCCGTACATATTCTCCACGACAATCCGGGCCCGTACGTCTGTCTCAGTATTGAGCTTGTTCGCATGAGGATTAGTCTCGACTGGTTCCTCTTCCTCGCTTACGGCAGTTCTAAGGTAGTCAAGCAACTCACCATTGTCCGCAGACTCAATCACACTATTCGTTCTGTTTGTTTGTGCGCTCTCTGGATGCTCTGAAATGTCCAACTTATCATTCTTTAAGGTATCATCTGCTTTGATCTCGTCCAATAGGGCCGTTTGCTCTTCCAGGAAAATATCATCCATGACGTCCGTATTAGGCTCGTTTACGTGTCTCTGCAGCTCATCCATCAGCAAAAACATCTGGTCAGAAGCAAACAAGTATAACTATAGACACTATGAAAGACACCTTCTTTTGTATACAGCATACCACGCCGGACCTAGGGTGTGTCACATGTAATTCAGAGTGTTGTATTTACTAGAATGCGGGTCCTGTTCACCGTGCAGATAATTTTAACAGCCGCGACCAAAGGCTTATGGTTGTAACACATGTATAACATGAATCTGTATTAACATTGTTTTTATTAAGAGTCTACTGTAATTATCTCAAGTGTAACTGTTCATCAAGGTCTTTATCACCCGAAGTCTTTGAATGGAGTCAAGTACTCTGAACGGTTGGAAGCCAACAACCACCAATGACGGGGAACACTTTGGGAACTCGACAATTTAGAAAGGTGAGCTTCATTTATTGAGACTCGGTTCATTATAGTCTTAATTCGCCGGCGTGAGGATTTTCTCTTTGCAATTCTCACCTGAATCCTTCGAATGGAGACGAGTCCCTCCGACCCGTGCATGATCGCGAATGGGAAATGGTTGGACAGGCAAATCCTGGCGCTGTAGAACAGTGCGAGCACGGGGAAGACCTTAGAGGGCGTGACAGGATTTCCCAGAGAGGCGTAGACGATGAATGTGATGAATGTCGTCAACAGAGCGCCATCGAACCGGAGGGCTCCAATTATTGCGTGCAAATAGGCACTGTGTAAAATCTTTCGTACCTCCTTTCTGTAGACAGAAAGAAGCAAAACTATGTACGAAAAACCATGCTTTTTATTCTGCAGAGTACTCATTTGGGAAAACCGGTTTATTTGCCAATCGTCTGACCATCGTGAATTTGAACACCTACCGAGTGTGTACTCGGTAGGTCTGCCAGTTCTAAATAATCACCTGAACTGACAGGAATTGGCAAAGGCCGAAAGGGCTCCTCACAGCAGCCAGAGGCCACAGACAGTTGAAAACAAGCCTTGTCAACAGGTAAGCTCATTGACTTTAATCCCTCATATCCATCTTATTTTTGAGGAAATGAACTAAAATCTTCCTCGCAAGCCACCAGTTACGCACACCTCTTTGCCCCCGAAATTTGGTTGTGGATCTGCCATTGCTCTGAGCAAATCTTGGAAGAGGGAATTCAACTTACGCTCGGCTTTCGGCGACCAGTTTTCCAAACGAATGTTCCCACGCGTATATCTTGATGACGCGTATGCCAGATATCACTTCATTCATGATGCGGATCCTTGCATCCGACAACAAGGCCGTTTTGGATCTGAAAGGGAGAAAGCACAATATAAACTTTTCTGCAAAGATCTGGGGACTTTATTGAGGTCGTTTGCAGTTTCAAATGAAAAAAAGAAACACTCTTCATGCATTGGAGGTTAGTAGAGTATGAAGTTATTGGTTTCTGTAACAAAACATTTCACTATGTATAGGGTTTGTATAACAAAATATGCACATACCAGACAATTGCTTACTTCGAAGACATTGGTACCATATTATACTGAAAGGTGTAGTCAGGTGTAGTGGTAGTGTAATAGCTGTTGCACCGAGTGGTGATTAATGGTACTATGCTAGTAATAGCGAGCATTCTCAAGGCAATATTTGACACTGCTAAAATACCAATTGAAACGGGGGGTCTAAAACTGCCGTTTATAAGCAAACATTATCCCAATGGTTATCTGATCGACAGTTTACCCAAGAATAAGTCAAAAGGAATATCACGATAGGTTTCTGAATGCACCCAGGATTACCTAAATTTGGAAGCTAGTTTCCCAATGTAAATTTGGAGGGGTGCCATGAAGATCAAAATGGAAGTCCCGGCAAGGCAAGACACTCCGATCTCTCTCCAGGCTAGGGCGACCACGATAGTCAGCTGTAGAGGAGCTATCCAGAGGTAGTGGAGGAGCCGGAAAGCCTAACAAGAAGGAGACGAGGCAGCTTGATTCATTATTAAGCAACTTCTGACATACGAAATGGGGAAAGTATGTGGGATCGATTGGGGTTGATCGATTGATATCCGTTTTGACTTTAGAGTTGCTATTACATCTGGTGCACGATGACACAGTACCTGGTTAACAGTCAGAATGTTACATTAAATGCTCACACAATGTCTCATCGAAGTGGTGTAGCCAACAAGTAAGGATAATTTATCCTGTCCAACAACATTTTTTTCACGAGTGTTTTTTGAACGTCGCGCGATTGTCGGCATTGTTATGCCATGAAGAGCAACACCTATAGTCCGATAGTACCTATGATCGACGGCTTTTAGTCTGCTTACCAGACCAAAATATTCTGACTATTTCTGATGAATATAAGGGGTAGTACGTAGCCGTTAGTGTCACTTGACCGAAACGGGAGGATTTTCGAATACATTTCGTCGACACTCTCGGATAGCACCTGGGTAATTTTGGGTATAAAATAGGTTTTCTTTGCCTGCACTGCTCATTAAAGAGAATACGCAAATGAGTTGATAATTAAAATTCATTACTTGCATGAAACAAAAAATGTAATTCAATGAATACTCTGTGAATCAAGTATTGCACGACGGACGAGCTTCGCTGCATCACTTCGCATCACATTGGTTCCAAAGTGTGTTTTAGTAAAGTGTTCTTTACAGTATCAAGTTGATATATTGGTCACACCCAAATAATTATCAGAGGATTCAATTTCTGCTCAATTTGTCACCACAGTTTTACAACACAAACAGTTTCCACTATGGAGTATCGTGGATAATTGTAAGTCCCACTGGCAGTCACACGCGTTTTTTTGATTTTTTTTTTTTTTTTGGGGGGGGGGCACCTACCAAATCGAATCTGTTGACGTCATTGGATAAGATGTTGACCAGTTGACCGATTGTCGTTTCTCCTAAAGCTAGGTTGCTGAGTCTTAAGGCCTGCAATATTGAGAAGGGAAAAAAGTATTAGCTATAACACTTGTACTTTATAAGGACATAAAAATGTGAGAATACTGCGAGGATCCTCTTACCAATATCATATCGTGCTTAAGATATCCTTGCTGAGATTACTAATTGAATGAATACGCATCGCTGGAGTAATCCTGTGCTCTGAGTTTGCTACGTATGGGCGCGTTTTTTGTTACTGGTGCTGTCATCTTTTGTATTTGACAACATGATGGGGTTTTGGTTTGTATTGTCACCTTAGCCCTCCAATGAAAACATGCATTGTGAACCTTGCTATTACTTGGGTCAATTTTAGTCAACCCCCGTTGGTCTGTACACAGTATGCCAGGAGGTGAGATAGAAACATTTTGACCGTTTGTGACCTCTTAAATAGCAGGAGGATTAGTACCTTATACTGATTGAACGGTAGGCCTTATAGGGTATTACACCATGCTGGATTTACTCCATGTTGGTTTCACCCCATGCTCCAATTTCCTACTTGAAATCTTGAATCACCTTTCTGAAGATGAGACCCGAGCAGGCCGTCCTTAGCCTCATTCCTGTGATCCAATAGCCGAAGTAGCAAAAATGGCTGGCTATAAGTATGAGCAGGGAAGACAAGGACATGCCCAATGCTTGCAAGTAGGCTTCCGTGGTCGACACGAGGTCCGTGGAGAAGTACAGAACAAGACGACTCAGCATCACTGGCTGGGCCATCTTCAAGACGACCTAATGTTGATAATATCCACATCCAAAATACATGTATGAGAAGTAAGACAGATATCAGAATAAACGAAACACGGGTTGAATATACGAATTTACGATTTATTGTTGAAACAACCTTTTAAAAGTTTCTTATAATGTAAACAGCATTTAATATTGTCCGTAGTGATTTGTATTCAAACATGTACAAACACTAGACCCATTCCTGACAACAAATTGTAGGGGTGGATTATAACTTCTTCTTTTTTTGCGGAATCCCCGCTGCCATTTTTAAGGAAAATATCGTTGATTATCCATCGGCCCTTTGACCACGGCAACCATCATCGTATTAGCAGCGATACCTACCTCAGAGTGAATACAGTTCATAAATCGCTGTAGAAATTGTGCTTTATCATTTTCATTGTCCCCGGGGATTCCAATCATTGTAACCTTAAGAAGGGTTTACCCAAGTACTATTAACATGTGGATTGTGCAACTTGCCAAAATATAATCCTGGACCATTGTTGTACAACAATTAAGGGAGCCTGCAGATCGCTGAAGCGAGCCCCTTTTGGCAACTCAGACTATAATGTGGAACTCCTGGTTCCAGCACATAAGCAACAGCTTAAACGCCAGAAACCAGATGAATGCCTTGTTCCAAGGTGGACATATGAGGGTATTCAGCGACTGCATGCATGTTTTGCTTGAACTGAATCGGTCTTATTTACAGAAAGTGCAGCTGATTTGGATGAATGTGCAGAGTTCACAATGGACTACATCAAGTTGTGTGAGGAGCTGTGCATTTCAAAGAAAAAAGTGACTCGATATCCAAACGACAAACCTTGGTTTGACCGTTCAGTGGACTCGGCACACTGCTCCAGGGACAAGGCATTTGAGTGTGGACAGGTCAGCTTTGAAACGGGCAAAATATGCCGTCTGTTAAGCAATAAGTGATGAAAGAGGGGACAAGGAAACAAGAACAACAAGTCAGGTGTGTTTACAAACACAAATGCCCCGCAACCGTGACTGTTCCCATGACATAACACCACTCTTTAACATCAACTTACATGTACCTTGGTCACATGGAACATTCATTGACAGCATTAGTGTCTTCTGTAGGTTTTATATGAATTAATCCCTAATCCCTATAATCTCAGAATAAAAAAAGATTTATATTGTTTTAGCCACTGTGAACTTGACCCTTGACCTTTGGCCCCAAATTCAATAGGCTTCTTAGGATTACCAAGAACAATCCACAAACCAAATTTGAAGTTCATATGTTAAGTATTTCTCAAGTTATCGCGCTGACAAGATTTCTATTGTTTTAGCCACTGTGAACTTGACACTTGACCTTTTGACCCCAAATGCAATAGGCTTCTTAGGATTGCCAAGAACAATCCACAAACCAAATTTGAAGTTCACATGTAAAGTATTTCTCAAGTTATTGCGCTGACAAGATTTCTATTGTTTTAGCCACTGTGAACTTGACCTTTGGCCTTTTGGCCCCAAATGCAAAAGGCTTCTTAGGATTGCCAAAAACAATCCACAAACCAAATTTGAAGTTCACATGTAAAGTATTTCTCAAGTTATCGCGCTGACAAGATTTCTATTGTTTTAGCCACTGTGAACTTGACCTTTGGCCTTTTGGCCCCAAATGCGAAAGGCTTCTTAGGATTGTCAAAAACAATCCACAAACCAAATTTGAAGTTCACATGTAAAGTATTTCTCAAGTTATCGCGCTGACAAGATTTCTATTGTTTTAGCCACTGTGAACTTGACCTTTGGCCTTTTGGCCCCAAATGCGAAAGGCTTCTTAGGATTACCAAGAACAATCCACAAACCAAATTTGAAGTTCATATGTTAAGTATTTCTCAAGTTATCGCGCTGACAAGATTTGTCCGGACACACACACCCACCCACCCACCCACCCACCACCCACCCACCCACCCCACCCACCCACCCACCCACCCACCCACCCACCCACCCACGGAAGGACAAGGCGGAAACAGTATGCCCCTTCGGCTTCGCCGCGGGGCATAAAAATGTTGCTGTTAATTTCATGGGGGCTGTTAGGGTGAATGTTCCCTTGACCGCGCTCGGTAAAAAGAATATGTCGAGAAAACGAAAGAAGTTTTGGGGAAAAATACTCCCCCCCCCCCACCTCCCTCTAGGAAAAAAATCCTGGCGACGTCCAGGAAAACAACTTCTACTTTCTGGTGACCGTTTTCGAGTCGGTTTTATATTCATTTATTTTCTTTTGAAAAAGTTCCACAGATCTCTAGTGCAATAATTCACACTAAACAGATGGTTTTGGTTACCTCAATGAATGCAGGCAAGCCATGTATCATGTAATGCCAGCCAAAAGCTCTTAGCAACGCCCATCGAAGAGACGAAGGCTTTCCCGTGGCTTCACTTTTCTTAATTTCTTTATTCCACTCCCTGCATGGAGAAGGGATTCCAAAGATCATACTTGACATACCCACGATAACATACAATTAAGATTTACAATAGTAAAATATCATATTGTTTTCACTCTCCATAGTTAGTCAGATGTAGATGTACTTGTTCATATTATTGTCATTGATCTGAAAGCCCTTAGTGTGCTCAAAGACTATTGACACTTTGTTGCATACATTTTATTTTGTGATAGGGTATTGCACTGGCACATACTTTACCTCTCGAGTTTACCGACCACAATAACAGCGGAGTCGTCAGGCAGAACGTCATACAAGTCTGTTTCAACAAGAGGTCTCTTGTAGCCTCGACGGAAGAAATTAAACATCCAGCTTCAAGAAGAAAATGATTATGTATGGAATTGAAAGCAAAGGAGGTTATGAACATTACAATACGTGATTGTGTCAGTATTTAATGCGCACTTTGTGTTTGATTTAGTATTTGCTTACTTTCCATGTAGAATTACTGAATCGTTTTTTTTTTCTCAGTGAAATGCAAATCAAGGCAGCAGCAACTAGCATATATCAAAACGGAAGGGTAATTGTTCCTGGCGGATTGTCGAAGACTTACAGTTATGATGGTTTTAGACAGAAACAAAAATCAGTGGAGTGTCATGGCCTAGCGGTTAAGAACACCGGACTCATATTCTGGTGTTTCAGAGGCAACAGTGACGTGGGTCAAGCCCGCCGGCGGACACTTTTGCCCTTAAGCAAGGCACTTAACCATTCCTGCTTCATCCTTCGGATGGGACATAAAGCCGTAGGTCCCGTGTGTTGTGTAATGCACGTTAAAGAACCCATTAAAACTTGTCACTAAGAGAAGGGGTTCGCCCCGTCCTGACAGTGGCCGCAGCGCCTTGTAAACCCTTATAAGGTGCTACATAATGGGTCTCATATTTCTCATGTACTTCATTCATCTAATAATATACATAACTCCTAGTGCCTTGAGTACCTATACTCCATTGCGATAATGCCTGAATAGGTTTCTGCAACGTAACCATACAGATACAGATCAGAAGATATATCGTCAAAAAATTGTTATGTATAATTTGCTTATAAATATGTATTTTATACCAGAAAATTGCTGAAAAGGTTTTTAACTTAAAAAAAATACGCTTAAGATTTTCAACAAAACACAAAATGCCCCAGTATGTTAAAGCAAATCGGTAGAAACAAACTCCACTTCAGAATCACATTCACTAACTGACTAAAGGTTACAGTTTACGGTAACAGAAAAACACTGTACGAAATGAAGTGGCGCGTCATTGTGCAGGCCTACGGGATACGTAGGCCATCAGCCTCGGTCCATTGTTTTGGCCACCGGTATCAAATGAGGGGAATAATCGTCATAGCGATTTTTGGCAATGTATACACCTCCGGAGTTGAAAAATATGTGATAGCATTGCAGCGGTGGCAGCTTTTGGGTGTTATCACCTTTTTTCTCAAAATGTCCATCAAAATGCTTGTTACCACTCTAAGGGCGGTACACCTTGCGCATGCTCACTATAATAATTTATGTCCTGATTTGATACCGACCAAACCCCCAGGCTGATGGCCTGATGTGGTGTATGTGCAGGTATAAAAGGGTGCATAACTTATCTTACAAGAATACTAATTTTGAGAAGAGACCAGCTGTCTTCATGGGGTGTGGCGGTCTTCTGACTCCGGAGGGGGCTTTGACGGGCTCATCCTCAGTCTGCGCGAAATCTGAAACATGTCTAGGTTTGATGTCGTAACCCGATGTTTTGGACGAAACGTCGACGTTATGGGCCGCCATGACGGTGCTTGCAATATGACATGCGAATAATTATTATTGTATATTGTAGCAGTAGTGGGCTTGTTGGTAACAGTTATTCTTTGCAGTGAAACGTACGTTCCCTTGGTGTTATTGCACAAAGATAAGGTAACCAATACGTGTACACTTACGTTTCCCATAATACAGAGTTCAAGTGTAATACAGTTGACATATGCACAATGATGTATCCAGGACTTTGGTCCAGAGTATAAAATTGATAATTAAAGGGACATTACGGCCTGAAATCCCCGAATATTTCATGTTCCGGAAAGTTAACTTCAACTATTTTTAAAACGTATGGTTGAAAAGGAAACAAAGCTTTATGTCTTACCGTTCCCGAGAAAGGCAAAACTTTGGTAGTTGTGCATAACTGTCGGTTCTGAACAGCGCCCCCATCAGCCCCTGGTACCAGCCAATGATGTTGGTATGGTTTCGAGGCGGGAAGTCACTTATGTGACTCACCTTTGAATATGAATTGCGCCCCCTGTTGTTTTCAAACGAAACTTAATTACGACTTCTTTAAAGAATTTTTCGACGAATTCTTGCACGTGATCAGTAGCTGTACACTCATGAGGGCACCTACAATGGAAAAACCATTGTGCACGCTATTGTACTCAGCAATTGCTCTGTGATGGATTACTTGAACAGCTATCACACGATTTTGCCACGGAAGGGGGGGCATTCGTGATACCATTGCTATAACGTGCTCGGATTGGCCTTCAGCCGCAAAAGCTTATGCATCGACGCAACTTGCTTTGAGCTGTGCAGAAAGTTGCATGTGATCATCTTTCTCAACCATCCTTTTCAGAAGTATTATAAGCTCTTTTTATCAGATCAGTTATTTTTCTACATGGGATATAGAAGTCCATTTCGGTCTGTTACGCGTCGTGTCTCATAAGTTTGGTAGTGATTGATGATTCTATTTGGTAGATATTGATGATTCTATCTTGGTGGCGCTTTTCAACAAGCTGAAAGACTAAACAACACAAGTTGTGGCATTCCAAATCATTTAATTTACGAATCCAGAAAATTTATCATTCGGTTTTCTGAATCGCGTTGATTAAATGTAATGGTTATATATATTTATTTTTATCAATTTCTGAGATACAATTATTTGGGTTGGATTCTTTTATCGCAAAATTCAAGCTCTTCCTTATGATTAAGGGTGTCTAATACCGAGATTTAAAAGTAAAACAACCACACAACTATCCTTTAAAAAAAACTGGGCGCTGTTGTAGTCTTATTGTGTTATTGTGACTTTCGGGTCCTCTTTTGCGACCCCAAAAAGTCGGGCTGTTCGTGCTAGTTGTGATTCCATCCGGAAGGGTTTGCGTTTTGCGGATGTGTAAGAAATCACATACCGTGCCGTGCATTGGTGATTGGTCACTGCTGTTCGTAAGCACGGCGTTGGGTAAGTGTGGAATACCAGACACACCAAACGTGTATCGTACATTGTATGAAAACGACAGGAAACACGTTTTATACTCCGTCTTGTCCGATGTAAAAAAACCGTAGTTTGTGTTTGTTGGTTTTTTTCTTGGGAACGGTAAGACATTATTAGTTGGTTTCCTTTTCAACCTTGTTCAACTTTCCTTTTCAATGTTTGAAATATGATATTCAAACAATTCAAAGCATGACATTTTTGGGGATTTCAGGACGCAGTACCCTTTTAAACGAAATTCATAAATACCTCAGACAGTTTAGCCATTCCTATAGACCGCTTGCAGACGCGTTCGATAATTGACGCGCTCAGGTGAGCGACGCCATGTTATGGGACAAAATGTGCGTGGATAGATATACGCCTGTCCCACAACATGGCGTCGCGCGCCTTCGCGCGTCGATTATCGAACGCGTCTGCAAGCGGTCTATTGGTCGAGAGCCCGTCACGTGGCCGGTATTAAACGGATGATAAAGACATGGCTAGCTGGTCCTAAACACTTTTCCAGTGTCACAATAAAATGTGGACTCCTAAAAATCCAGTGCCTCTTATCGTTTCATTGGTTGAACGTTCACAATCCTCACGTAGGCATGCGCAACACTACCAGGGAGTTAGAATTTTATAGTTCTAAATTCAAAACGCAACGCGCCAGGTGCGTTCTGCGCGACATCGCGTAGAACATGATACGCGCGCGTCAATCTCCATAAAAGGGTTGTTTTCATCCTACTCGCCAGCTGAACACTCCATTATTTTGCAGGAGGGATGTTTCAAAAAGCATAAAGTGAATTTTTTGAACAAAATCGGGATGTTTTGAACGAATTATAGATTTTTTTTACCGAAAAGGTATTTATGAATGGGAATAAATATGTACTCCGTCGGTATTTATCACTCTGTTTAAAACCACTTAGAGTCTGGGTGCTGATAATTACCCTCGCCTCCGGCTCGGGTAATTATCAGCACCCAGACTCTAAGTGGTATTAAACAGAGTGATAAAAACCTCCGGAGCACACATTTATTCCCTTATTATATTTACTAGAAATATCGTTTTGAAATAATAATCACCAACCTTTAAAAGCTGGGCGTTTCTGTTTGATTCTTGCGAAAACCATGCAAGAACGAATTTCGGTGGTCACAGTTTTGTCTCCGAAAAATCGAGCTGTGATCCAGCCGCAGAGCGGTGAGAAACAACATTTGTGTATTGGTAATGTGTGTATTATGTACCACATACACAACGTGTGCCGTGCCGGGCCTTGATTAGACACGACTTGACATACGTCTGTGGTTATGCCACAAGATGGGTATGCCAATACATGCTGGGAATTTCAGGCCGTAATGTCCATTTCATTACTGATTTTGTACCCTGGACCCAAATCATATATACTCTATTGTTCTTTGGTCCAATGGACACACTCGAACTTTGTATTTTGGGAAACACACGTGTACACGCATCGGTGACCTTATCGTTCGGCAAGTACGTGTCACTGCAACAAAATAGCTGTAAGAACAAGCACCTATATTCTGACACGATAGACAATAATTTATTCACTCCATATTATATTTCCAGAACCGTCATGGCGGCCCATAATGACGGCGGATTGTCCAAAACGTCGGGTCACGACAGCAACCCTAACCAAGTTCCAGATTCGACGCAGACTGAGGACGAACCCGTCAAAGCACCCTCCGGAGTCAGAAGACCGCCACATCCTATTAAGACAGCTGGTCTCTTCTCTAAACTATTTTTCATGTAAGATAACTATACACCATACCTGCACATTTACCCATACTTACTTTATAATCAGGCGCGGTTCTAGAACCAATATTTTTGGGGGGCTAGCACGGTGGATCCAGAATTTTGTTCAGGGAGGCGTGCTGAAATGTTGACTGGTTATTTTTTCCAGACACTAAGGCCTCCGAAAATCAATAGGGAGCTCATGCCATATTTTCAATGGGGAGCGTCAATAAAATCCTAAAATCATTCACACTAAATGAACTAATGCACCCTTGTCAGGGCTATTTCTTCTTTAGCGGGAGACCGTTCGCATGTACATCACAATCCTTCTTTTTGCTAATGTTTTTTTTTTTTTACGGAACTTATTTTTTGGGGCTAGACACAATTTTTGGGGGCTACAGCCCCCCTAGCCCCCCCCCCCCGTAGAACCGCGCCTGTTTATACTCCCTGTATTGTTATCTACATTTCCTCCTTAATTTTTTTCTCCTTAATACAATAAATTATCGTTTTCTTCTTGAAGCTGGATGTTTAATTTCTTCCGTCGGGGCTACAAGAGACCTCTTGTTGAAACAGACTTGTATGACGTTCTGCCTGACGACTCCGCTGTTTTTGTGGTCGGTAAACTCGAGAGGTAAAATATGTGCTAATGCAAAACCCTATCCCAAAACGAAATGTGTAAATGAAAACAAAGTGTCAATAGCATTTGAGCACACTATAAGCTTTCAGATCAATGACAATAACACGAACAAATACATTTACATCTGACTACCCATGGAGAGGGAAAACAATGACTATATTACAGTTGTAAATCTTTATTGTATGTTATCGGTGGTAGGTCGAGTATGGTCTTTTGAATTTCATTTCTCCACGCAGGGAGTGGAATAAAGAAATTAAGAAAAGTGAAGCCACTGGAAAGGCTCCGTCTCTTCGATGGGCGTTGGTTAGAGCTTTTGGCTGGTATTCCACAACACACGGCTTTCCTGCATTCATTGAGGTAACGAAAACCAGCTGTATGATGTGAATAAGTTTACTACCTTCCACAAAAGAGATGTAGGGAGACATTTTTCAAATACTTGGCAATTGAAACGCTAGACATTGATTACATGAATAAGACATCCGATTCGAAGTTAGTCACCTAAAGTCGAAATCGTTATTCTGGGTTATGTAATCCTAGGTTATTCACAACATTTTAAATAAAACGCATCTTTTAAATGGTAAACATTCAACACCAGATTTATGTTGAAAAACGACGGAGAGCACTTTCTACAGCAATTAATGGGCTTGATTTACCTTAAGGTGGGGATCGCTGCTGATCAGGGGATCGATATCGAGGCCAAAGGGCCGATTGATAATCAACGATAATTTTCTCAAAAACGGCAGCGGGGATTCTGATGCAAAAAATAATCTTCGCCTACAACTTGTAATTTGGAGTGGGTCTCGTGTTTGTAAATAATTGAACAAAATTCACTGTGGAAAATAACCACAAAGGGTCCATGCTGTTTACATAATATATAACTTCAACCAATCGTAAATACGTTATTATATCAGTGTTTTGTTTATTCAGATGTTCTTCTTAATTTTCAAACATGTATTTTGGATGTGGACATTGTCAACAGGAGGTCGTCTTGAAGATGGCGCAGCCAGTGATGCTGAGTCGTCTGGTTCTGTATTTCTCCACGGATCTCGTGTCGACCACGGAAGCCTACTTGCAAGCATTGGGCATGTCCTTGTCTTCCCTCCTCATGGTTATCACCCACCATGCCTGCTACTTCAGCTATGGGATCACAGGAATGAGGCTAAGGACGTCCTGCTCAGGTCTCATCTTCAGAAAGGTGATTCAAGATCCAAATAGGAAAATTCAGTATGGAGTGAACCCTTCATTGAGTTAATCCAGCTTAGTGTTATCCCCGCACGGTCCAATTCCGACCAACCAGTATAAGCTATTCATTGTTATTTCGGTTGTGTAAAAATCAAACGATTGTGTACTATATGAACCTAGCAACCTTTTGTGTAAACTGTTGTTTACACAACTTGTGTAAAATAGTACACAACTTGTTCAGTTTTTTACACAACTGGTTACACAACTGTTGAATTATAACAAAAAATAATGTGATATTAAAAGACCAATCCCTACCATGTTGTCAGTACAACGCCATTACAGTATAAATAAACCCATCAATGCGTAGCAAACGCAGAGTACATGATTACTCCAACGATGTGTATTTAATCATTTAATCATTCATGAGTAATCTCAGCACAGCTAGTTTAAACACGATATGATATTGGTAAAGGAATCTTCACAAAATTTACAAAATGTCCTTACAAATGACATTGTAAGGAATCTAGCTAATTCTTGTTTTGTTCTCAATATTGCAGGCCTTAAGACTCAGCAACCTAGCTTTGGGAGAAACGACAATCGGTCAACTGGTCAACATCTTATCCAATGACGTCAACAGATTCGATTTGGTACGCGCCAAAAAGAGATCACGTGTGACTGCCAGTGGGACTTACAATTACACGATACTCAAAATGTGGTGACAAATTGAGCAGTATGTAAAAAACAACCCTGACCGATTGCTGTTGACGTACTAAATCCTCTGATAATTATTAAAAAAAAAATTGACAGCGTCTGACCAATATACCAACTTGTTACCTTCAAGAACATTTTTTTTTGCAACAAAAGTGATGCGTAGTGAAGCAGAAAAGCTTACCCCTCTTGCGATCCGAGTGCATTCTTGATACATCAAGTCGTCAATGAATTACAAGGGTTTTATTTTACGTTCAATTACGTTCATTATTTAATGTTAATAAGCAGGGCAGGTAAAGAAAACCTATTTTATACCCAAAACTACCCAGGCGCTATCCGATAGTGTTGACGAAACGCATTCGAAAATACTCCCGTTTTGGTCACGTGACACTGACGGCTACATGACCTTAGATTCATCAGAAATAGTCAGAATCTTTTGGTTTTGGCAAAACTGTCTTGCATCCAGACCAAAAGCGGCAAATCATGGGTACTGTCCGACAAAAGGTGGTGCTCTTCCTGGCGGAACAATGCCAACAATTGCGTGTCGTTTAAAAAAAGAAACTTGTCATAAAAAAAGACACTCCTGAAAACATAATTGATGGACGTGGTTAATGCTCCTTATTCTCACGATGGGTTCTTCACAATGTTGAGACTACGTTTGACTGGCTGTTAACTTTGTGTCATTGTGTCATGGTGCACCAGCTGTAGTAGCAGCTATATATACCCCCATCGATCCCACATCCTTTCCACATTTCGTATGTCAGGAGTTGCTTAATAATGAACCAAACTGCATCGTCTCTTTTTTAATAGGTCGCCGTGTTCATCCACTACCTCTGGATAGCTCCTCTACAGCTGACTGCTGTGGTCGCCCTAGCATGGAGAGAGATCGGAGTGTCTTGCCTCGCCGGGATCTCCATTTTGATCTTCATGGCACCCCTGCAAGGTTACATGGCGAAACTATGTTCCAAATTTAGGTAATCCTGGATGCATTAAGAAACACATGGTGATATCCGTTTTGACTTATTCTTTGGCAAACTGTCGATCAGATAACTAAAGACAGTTTTGACCCCTGTACCAACAGGCAGTAGGCCTTTAGCTGTGTTGAATGTTGACATGGGATTGCTCTCTATTACGTGCACAGTACAATAATAATGACCACTTGGTGCAACAACTACTATACTACCACAACACTGGGCTACAGCTTTCGGTACACTGTGGTACCGGGGCTGTATCATTAGTCCGACGCCTCATAGGTCCGACGCCCCATAAGTGCACAATTTCGGACTTATGAGGCACAAAATTCATTTATTCAGCCTCATAGATCCTACGCCTCATACCGTCACCGGCACCACGAACTGACACCCTCTGCATCACATGTGTACACAAAAATTTAAAAATTCAAATTTCCTTTTTTTTGGCCGATATTAGCAGTTTGTATCATGAAGTTTAACATGACGAAGATTAAATTGCTGAAATCATCTAAAATAAGCAAATTTTACTAATGAATTTTCAAGAAATTGGTCAATTCTGGTCTTTTTTGTTACCACGAAGTGACCCTGCACAGGGTGTCAGTTCGTCAAAAACAAACATTTACGTGTTTTTTTAGAGTGTGCGCATGCAATAGCGTTAGGGAGTGTCAGTTCGTGAAAACGAAAATTGACGTGTTTTTGGAGAGTGCGCGCACGCATGCGCAGTGTGTGCGCGCACTCTCCCAAAACACGTCAGTTTTTGTTTTCACGAACTTCTGACTCCTCATAAGTCCGAAATGTCGGACTTATAGGCGTCGGACTTATGAGCAGACCCCGTGGTACCAATGTCGTCTAAATATACAATTGTCTGGTATGCATATGTGCATATTGTGTTAGACAAACCCTGTGCAATGTGAGATGTTTCGTTATAAAACCAAAAAGGTAGGTTAACATTATACTACACTAATTTCCGAGGTGAGGAGTGTTTTGTTTTAAATTGTCTTCACTCTAAAGTAATGCAACTTTAAACAACCTCAAGATCTTTGTTGTAAAATTTCCCATTTGCCGTTTTCCTTTTTTCAGATCCAAAACGGCCTTGTTGTCGGATGCAAGGATCCGCATCATGAATGAAGTGATATCTGGCATACGCGTCATCAAAATATACGCGTGGGAACACTCGTTTGGAAAACTTGTCGCCGAAAGCCGAGAGTAAGTTGACTTCCCTCATACAATATATCTGCCCAGAGCAAGGGCGGATACAGAACTTGATTCTCGGGGGGGGGGGGTGAAGATGGCTCGAGTATTATTATTTCTTGAAGGGGAGGGAATGCAGTGTATGAAGTATCGCACGCTATTGCCATAGTGTAATTTAAAACTAAAGGGTTTGTGTAATGAGCTTACCTGCTGACCGGACTTGTTGTCAGCTGTCTGGGGCCGATGGCTGCTGTGTGGAGCCCTTCCGACCTTTGGCAATTCCAGTCTGTTCAGGTGATTATCGACAACTGGGGCCTATTTTTTGGCTTTGCTTAGCACAAAAAAGTCTGGTTTATAAAAGCAGGTTACCAGCAAAAACTCCATGTATGTATATTACTCTTGATTAGTATTTAGCTGTTGTTTGCTATAGCATGAAAACCACGCGGAGTTTTGGCTGATAGGCTGCTTTTATAAGCCAGACTTTCTTGTGCTAAGCAAATTGGTTTGCTTAGCAGCACCGTGAAATTGGGCCCTGGTACCGTGCAGTGAGTAGGTCTACAAAGTTGCGATGGTGAGATGGTCGGCAAATAAACCAGTTTATCTAAGTAAGCAGTCTGCTGAATAAAAAAAAATAAGTTTTTTTGTAGACAGTTTTGTTTCTTCCTGTCTACAGAAAGGAGGTACGGAAAATTTTGCACAGTGCCTATTTGCGCGCAATAATTGGAGCCCTCCGGTTCGACGTCCCTCTATTGACGACATTCATCACATTCATCGTCTACGCCTCTCTGGGAAATCCCGTCACGCCTTCTAAGGTCTTCCCCGTCCTCGCACTGTTCTACAGCGCCAGGACTTGCCTGTCCAAAAATTTCCCAAGCGGGGTCATGTACTTGTCAGAGGGACTCGTCTCCATTCGAAGGATTCAGGTGAGAATTGCAAACAGAAAATCCTCAGGCCGACAAAGTTAAGATTATATGTATCCTCGATTTGTGAAGATCGTCTTCCTAAGTGTTCACTATCATAAATGGTTGTTGGCTTCCAATTTTTCAGAGTACTTTACTCTATTCAAAGACTTCGGGTGATAAAGACCGTGGTGAAAGGGTACACTCAAATATAATTAGAGTACACTTTGTAATACAAACAAATTATGGATATAATAAAAATAAATCCTTTGTCCCGGCTGGTAATTATTATCTGCTCACTGAATAGGACCAGCACTACACTCGTTTCTGCTAGGTCTGGCTGGGTATGCTGTACACAGACGAAGGTGTCTTTCATATTGTCTTTGATGGTACTTCTTTGTTCTTCTGACCAGATGTTTTTGCTGATGGAGGAGCTGCAGAGACAGGCAAATGAGCCTAATACGGACATCATTGATAATATTTTCCTGGAAGAGCAAACGGCCTTATTGGAAAAGATCAAAACAGATGGTTTTCTTGGGAACGAATTGGACATCTCAGAGCATTCAGAGAGCGCGCAAACAGAGAGAACGAGTAGTCTAATGAGTCTGTGGACAATGGTGAGTTGGTTGACTACCTTAGAACTGCCGTAAACAAGGAAAAGGAACCAGACGAGACTAACCTTGATACGAACGAGCTCGATACTGAGAAAGAAGATGGGGCACGAATTGTTGTGGAGAACATGCACGGATCTTGGAACAAGGTAGAGTTGCCCATATTAATAATAATAATAATAATATAATTGATAATCATATACAGGGAAGACATTCACATAGATTTGTGCGTACACACACACACACACCCATTCTCAAATTTGTATCCTTGTGGAGACATTCCTTTGTTCTCATGTAGTAAAGTGTTCAATTTTGAAAGTGAAGATTCAAAATGCTCTTATTTTAACCAGAATTAGTTTCCTTGGCTGAAATTTGGACTTAATATCCCTTTTCTAAAACTCTTTCATTTGCGACAGATCAACCCACCTTGGAAATTCCTAGTTTTTGAGTAAAACCCATATATCTATTTCGTGAAAACCTTGTGGAGACCTATTCATCTATAGAAATTGCCCTGTGGAGACCTTTACAATGTTTTGTTCCCTATTGTGTGTGTGTCTCCACAAGGATACGAATTTGTAGTCACCCCGTCGCGAATTTCTATACGCCCGAGGACAATGCTTTGTGTTTCATTTGTCCTTGTATTATAACACTTCCCCTTACACTAAGCACGCAATCGTGCGATCGAGGACAATTTCGAAAAAAGCACCGTCGTTCGAGGAATTGAAAGGATCTTTTGTAATCCTTTGTGGGTCTGTCCTCAATCGTAATGCCATACAAGAGCACCCACACACACACACTGACGCTTACATAGGCATAGAAGTGGGGTACTTCATTTGTTCTAGTGTACTAAAATTTCGCAACGTCGCACACTTTTTTTTAAATGCTCTTATTGTAACCATAGTTAATTTCCTGGGCTGAAATTCGGACTTAATATCCCTTTTCTAAAACTCTTTTATTTGCGACTTATCAACCCACCTTGGAAATTCCTAATTTTTGAGTAAAATCTATATATCTATTTCGTTAATAACTTGTGGGGTACCAAAACGGTACCCCGCAAGTTGGTGGGCATTCCTTGTGGGGTACCTCCCATTGTTCCGGTACCCCACAAGGCAGTGGTTGTACACGCCCACACACACACACGCGATTATCCGTTTTTTTCTAAACCCAATTTTCCTCATCCTAGCCCATGAATTTCGGTATTTTTGCTAATTGGAACATGAACGATCGATCTAGCGTATTTGCGACAATGAAATGTCGCCTCTAAAAAGGCGGCTGAGGCATTAGGGAGACATTGAAACGTCTCTCAAATTACGCATGTCTACCCAATGGGAAACCTCACAGGCTAAAGTGTGTCCCAAATGGTAACATTTGCGATAGTATAAATAACAACCACAGTTTGACACTTCATAGACTTGTGACCGAAACTAAGAAGACGTGCATATGAGACGTCATGCACATACATGCCATGCAACCAAAAACTTAAACCGTACGTAGCTCTAGCCTTTGACAAAATGGCGGCCTTAAGAATAGGGCGACAGTACTACTAGTCGACCTAACCAAGAAAATGTTTATGACCATAATGCTTATTCATAAAAAGTACGTATCCACCATTGTTGGTGCTCAAGGCGTTACATTATTGTCATCCTGCTCATGCGACCAATAAAACATTCAAAATACCATCTCAGCTCCATGGGGTGTATACAGCTCGATAATGCCATTTCGGCGCATAGCAGCTAAAATCTACCATAATAACCATCTCTGACCTCACAAATACCCATTTACTCCTGGATTAATAGAAGCAATGAGTGACAAAGTGACTTGCCCAAGGTCACAAGCACCATGGCCGCAGGCTGGACTCGAACCCACAACCTACATAATTACCCAATGGAACGATTGAAGTAATATTGTGTCATTGTTTGTTTTTCCATGACTTCTATATTTGATTCGAAGTAGAAATATCGTATAAAACACAATCAGATAGAATTGTTTTTACTCAATCAAAAGGACATCAGGAACACAGTGCTACAAGACGTCACTTTCCGAATTCAACCAGGGGAGTTGCTTGCCGTCATTGGGCCCGTTGGGTGTGGCAAGGTGAGTAAACCAAATGATTAGAATCCGGTGAATCCTTCCTTTGACATATTGTGGCGGATTCTCCTGATGAGACCATTTCTCAGACCCGAGACGTTGCAAGCAATGTTTAAGGGATGCAAATTCGTTTTGGTAGAAATGTACCGCCGAATGAATTGATTAGGTAACTCGGCCCAAATAAGTCAAATAAGCACCGTAGGACACCTTGTTTTGGCCACAGCAATAACAATATAGCTTATTGAATCAACAATTAATTGCGCTAGTCTCCTATGAAACAAGTCAACACGTGGGTTGCACTTTCGCTACAATATAGAGGTTCATATTTTTCTGCCCCTTCATATTAGTGTGTGTAGTTCATCTTTCAATATTTATACACGAGGTAAGCCGGGCGGCTTACCGTTTACATCCTGAAGGATTGGTTTAATTTGGGATGCTTGACATGTTCTCCTGTTCTCCATCTTCTCTACAATTTCTCTTGACTGGTACAGTCAGTCAAAGACTTATTCGATAGATATCATTGATCTCTTTGTGTGAGTCCCCGCATGAAATACGTGAATTTATACCCACAATGATGAAGGCGTCACAATCTCAGGTGTTTGATGTTTACTTCTTAACAGTCTTCGCTTCTGATGTCCCTTCTGGGAGAGATGCCTACTGTATCAGGAGTTAACGTCTTGAATGGTCGGGTTGGCTACACGGCTCAACAGCCCTGGATCCTTTCTGGCTCGCTAAGGGACAACATCCTCTTCGGCAACGAATACCAGCCGGCCAAGTACCAACGAATCATCACACAGTGTGCGCTAACCAGGGTAAGTTTGTGGGGACCATTGAAAGTGGCGCTGTTCAATCGCTGGTGATCTTTGCATGACACTTCTTGGGTTTTAAAAATCTTGACTTCGTCCACAGACTCTGTTCTAAAAGAATTTGGGGGCCCTTACTTAAAGGATTTGAGAGACTTTGACTTAATGTCAGGCCGCGTTTTGCTTGGGAAGACATTGAACTATGTTATCCCGGCAAACAAAATAAAGAAAATCCTATGTTGTCTTGACCCTTTTGATAATTCTTAAGCCACGGATGAAAACTCGACACTTTTTCTGTATGCAGAATAATTGTGTAACCCTGAGCTCCTATTTACAGGATATCGAACTGCTTCCTGAAGGTGACCTGACGCTGGTTGGTGAGCGTGGTGTGACCCTTAGTGGAGGTCAGAGGGCAAGGGTTAGCCTCGCCAGGGCCCTGTACAGCGATGTCGATGTGTATCTACTTGATGATCCTCTGAGTGCAGTAGATCCAGCAGTTGGTAGACACCTCTTTGAAAAGTGAGAACCTACGATGGATAAAAACAAATTGTACTTATCTTTCCAGAAACGTCTCATTTCAAGAGATGGCAACTTTTGTATTTGTTTTTCCAATAGGTGCATTCTCCATGAAATGAGGGACAAAGCTGTGATCCTTGTCACCCATCAGCTTCAATTCATTGACAAGGCGGACAAGATTCTCATTCTTAAGGAGGTACTTAAATAAATATACATGAACCTTTTCGGCACTCACCTTCGTTTCGCGGCAATTTCCGAGGTAAACCCAACCAAGGTAGTTCACGTCATTTAAGGATGTCTTCATGTGAAGATATATATGTGAAGATATAGTACAGGCTGCAGTGCTGAATTTTGATGATTTTTTTTCTTATTAAGAAGCAGTTCATTTCACGTTGATAACTTCAGTGGTGATAGAGAAAAGATAATAACATTATTTGTTTTTTAAATATAGTTATTATTGTCAGATATTTATCTCTCATCTGTAAGGGTAAGGTGGCTGGATACGGAACCTTCCAAGAGCTGCAGGAAGACGGCATGGACTTCGCTGCCCTTTTGAAGAAGAAATCTGTAGATGGTGATTACGATGGAGAGAATGATGTAAATCCTGAACGACTTGACGACACGGTGTCCATCTGTTCCGATGTCTCGTTTCACCCCGACAGTCATGAGGTGCGTTTTCTTGGTTCATGCACAAAACGATTCGTAAAGTGGATTCCTTCGTAAGAAAAAAATACAAGTGGAATTTATTCAAATGAGTTTATATATATCAATCAATTATCTAATTGTCTAGGTTGAGACACCTGTTGATGTCGTCCTTGAGGATATGGCGGCCGGCACTGTGGAGTGGATGGCGTACATCCGGTTCTTCAGAGCGGCTGCTGGGGTACCCTTTCTGCTCTTCTGGGTCATTGTTGTAGTCGGTGCACAGGTAGATTCTTATCGCCGGGATTATAAAAAAAAGCTTCACCTGCCTCTTTAACCTCAATAATATCAAAAATTAGGTTTTTGGTATAATTTGGTGACTCTAAAATCAATTGGAAGGCTACACCGTTGATGGGTAATATGCTTACCGTTGATATTGTGTTTGTTTAACAGTAAAAAAAAAACAACCTAAAGCAGCATCCTACTGATTTGGCTTAACTAAGCTACGGTTTCTGCTTCTCTGCTTTTGGTTTAAGGCATTGCTTTCTTACACGAATGTCTGGCTAGCGATGTGGACAATCGAAGAAGAGAAGGATCTAGTGGACAGAAATGTTACCAGTCAGGTTGGTTGACGGGTAGGATCAGTATCAGGAAAGGTATGGCGTACAGAGCCATTTGCTGAAGTACACTTGGTCAAATAGTCAGGGTAGATGCAGTTGTATTGAAATTGAGATACCTTTTTGAAACCTAGCGAGCATGTGCAAGCTTTAATTATGGTTTAATCCTTTTTTAGTTGACCACCCACTAGTTCAACGGTTTGTGCTGACTACTCACAAGTGAAAGGGCGTCTCGAAGAACGTAGCGATGACGCTTACGTGAAATTCCAATCAGGCCATCTTGAAAAATAAAGTTATTCTTTATCCACAAACGATTAGCTCAGTGTTAGTTATGTGACAGGTAAAACCTAAGGAAACGCTTGGCCTAGCTTTTTCTTTCATTTTGTCCTATGTGTAGTATTATCAGGACGGCACGGAGTACGAGGACCGGTCATACTACATAAGCATATACGCCATCTTGTGTGGAGCTACCACCGCCGCCTTGTTTCTTCGGGCCTTTCTGTTCTTCCATGTCTTTGTTACCGCCTCAAAGGCCCTACACAACCAGATGTTTGGCGCTATCATCAGAGCGCCCATGCAGTTTTTTGATACAAATCCTGTGGGTGAGACACTGTTAATCAATTACCGCGTTGGTCAAGTGTAATCGGTGTCCTTAGAGGCAAGGAGAGGTACATGTTTTGTAGTTTACAAAACAGAATATTGTGCGTTGTGTATGCACATCATCGCGGCCGTTCGTTTGTTTAATCATACTGCGGGGCCTGCACACATGCCCCCAGTTCGATGGATCATTATTGGACAGTTTAGTGCACCGAACAGGCTCTACGCTAACCTCAAATGGGATCATGGAAGATACCACATATTGTCTGCACGATGGCAAAATGTAAACGTTCTGCCAGAAATGCAAGGACCTGATGTATGTATATTTCGGTTCCAGGTCGGATTCTGAATCGCTTTGCTAAAGATATTGGCTACATGGATGACGTTTTGCCATCTACATTCACCGAATTCCTTGAGGTAAAGTACAGACTACACAAACACAATTATGCGTATATCAAAAAAAAGGTGAGTTGCCTTCTACTGACAATTTCTAACAAACTGGATTTACTTAAATATTGATTATCTGAGTATCTAGAAAATTAAATCAAAGACCTGATTGTCAGTGCCTCAATTTCTGGTTGTTAATTAATGTCATTGTTTCATTGTCTTCTCCAGATTTCTTTAAGTGCCATTGCCAATGTCATCCTGATCTCCATCTTCAACCCTTTTTGCCTCGTTTTCACATTGCCGATCGGAGTCGTCTTTCAGTTCACGAGGAAGTACTACCTAGCCTCCTCTCGAGACGTTAAAAGATTGGAAGCAATAGGTAGGCCAATCTTGAACGTTGAAATGCATAATCACAAGATCATAATGTAAAATGATGAACAATGATAAAAGAAAAACTTTGTCACAGGCGGTAACATATCCCGCAGGGGGAAAGAGACAAGGGAAGGGGGAATTTTACCTTAATAACTTGTTTTGGGGAAGAAAATAAATAAAAAATTAAGATTACTTGAGGTTGTTTTCCAGCAAAATGAGGTACACCTTTTTAAATTAAATATATACTCTTTTCCCCTTTTTTACAAAATTGGGGCCGTGGATTGTTTTCAGAAACATTACTCATTTTGCCCATTGGACACAAACATGCATTTTACGGTGTAATGATAACACAATTCTTGATGTAGCTTGTCATTTCACCTGATATTCTTTTGTGATGAACTCGTGATGACTACAGATATCGAACACAACTGTCCTGTTGCCTCCTTCATTGGATGGTTTGACCGATTATGTAATCATGTGCACCTGTTTTAGCTCGCAGTCCAGTATTCTCCCACCTGTCAGCCACCCTGACTGGTCTTAGTACCGTCCGCGCCTTCAAGGCTCAGCAGCGATTCACCGAGGACTTTGACGGGTACCTGGACGGCCACACTAGGGCCTGGTTCCTATTCCTGTCCGCGGCTCGATGGTTCGGTGTTCAGCTGGATTTCTTGTGTGTGTTATTTGTCACCGGAGTCAGTTTGGCATGCGTCTTTGCCGCAGATCGTAAGTCAGTACTTACACAAAGTAACTTAGTCCAGTAAACAAAGATAATCACAGGTAGTATGGATGAAGTGGCCTTAAACCATTAAACCATTTCATAATAATGAGTGCAAAACTTCACACTTAAACAACTTTGGTAATATAGTTTTGCCCAACCTTATCATGAAATTACAGTGCCTTAATTGTGGGTTGATTCGGGTAATAAGTGGCGAACCTCAAGGATGAATATGCTCAAGAGTGTAGACAATTGGTGAGTGGCCAACATGGGGCTAACTGCCAAATTTGAGAGTATATTCAACTTTATGTGAGAAGTTAACTTGGTATAACCTATGACAGTACAGCAGTTTAGAATAATATTAATTTTTGAGACCCATTGGGGGTAAAACTATAAAAAAAAATATGCTTCAAGATGTGACTACGATATGCATGTATAGGCTACATGTACAATGGCTTTTAAACACACGGGTATGTACAACGCGCATGTACACTGATCATGTTGACGCGCGCGTTTGCACACCTGACATGTGTATAAATAACGACAGTCACCCTAATAAGCATAATTTGCTACATTAATTTTGAAGTAAAAAAACCTGTCATCAGGTACGTCCATTATTGTTCGGAATGTGGGGCTTAAATGAATATAGTATTAGGCCAAAAAAAGTCTCCAGTTTCTGGTATGGAGCTTGCCCAAAAAGTGTTGCGGCGACGCGGCTTCTTTTTTTTTAACCTGACTTTTTTGCTTCAAATGTCGGCTGATGACTGCAAATGGTGCCTGACTAAACTTAATGCAAATATATGGGAGTCCAGAGAGGCCACATAAAGCTTATTCTTGATCATAACCCCATCTAAATACACGTTAAAATTGTGCAGCAGCAGGATTCCAGTCAAACCAGTGAGTTTGGCGGTTTTGAGACATCATCTTTCATTGAAAAAAAAAATCCTTTTGCCGACGCGCATGGCTACGGCGACGCGCGCGCATACCAGAAACCGGAGACTGTTTTGTTTGGCCTTAGGGACACAGTTATTACAGATATTAATCTTTACTTCATCTTCAAGCTTTGCGCATCCTTTGCATTACCATCTAAGTTTTCAGTTGACCGCCATCTTGAATATACCTATAACAGCTTCAACTAATTAGTAATGATTAAAGAAGGGGTTTTTCACTTTAGAAGGCTTAGCAGATGGTCAACAAAAGACACAAGTGATAGATTTGGTATCCATTGGTCTTAACAATTTGCCAAAGTCCGTGTCGAAGATAATCTGGTTAAAAAGGGTGTATTTTATTTTGTTTTTCCCGTAGTTCTTGATCTCAACTCTGGCATTGTCGGTCTCTCATTGACGTATGCGATGGGTCTCATGGGGGAGTTCCAGTGGGCGGTGCGACAGAGTGCAGAGTTAGAAAACCAGGTAAGCTCTGACAGTTATCCCTCTCCAAAAGAAACGCTTGTGGCTACGGCTTTTTTTCACCGTGTCGCTTTGCCAGAACCAAATCTGTAGCCAAAAATGATCTCGTGCATTTGGACACGACTCAAGTCGGATGCGAGCGGATCAGCTATCATGGTGATCAGCAGAGAGATGTCAGAGAAGATGATATTTTACAATATTGATCTGGTGACTAACGTTTAGTTTGACCAAACATTTCATTTCATAGAGTGACACTTCCGAAGTCCATGCATGTAATTAGGACAGTCCCCAGTGCATCTATGCAGGACTCGACAACATCAGAGCTTTTCATCAGAATTCATTCTGTTTTGACGTCACAACATTTTGTAGACAGAACAAACTGAAGTGATTGAAGGCTATCTGTGTCATCAGTGGCACTCTGTCTTTTTATGTACGTTCAGATGATATCTGTAGAGCGTGTTTGTGAGTACATCGATATCAAACCGGAGGCACCGTTGCAAACCGATCACAAGCCACCTTCAGACTGGCCTCAATGTGGCGGCATTACGCTCCAAGATGTCTCTCTGAGATACAGTGATGATGGGCCACTGGTACTACGCGAAATTAACTGCGTCATCAAGCCAAATGAGAAGGTGAGGCTACATGTCCATGTGTGCAAACGAAGGTTCTACTTTACTTGTTATCGTTATTCTTGCCAAAACAAAAATGCAAAGCAGAATCAGGCGTCAGCCGAGTGATTTGAAGAAGGAAGAGTCTGCATGTACTTTCCGATGTAATCCACGACCATACATGTATTAATTAGAATTAGATCGTATACCAACATGAATTTGGAAGGGAGGTGGGATCAATGCTCTCTCGGGATTGCTGCATCAACCATAGCTTGGTCTATGATTAACTGGTTAAAACAGATTTGTGTTTGGTGAATTCGATCAAGTTACATGAAGCACTTATTTCGAAGGCTTAAAAAATCATCCTTATACCCATCACATCGCGGCTTTCAGGTGGGCATCGTAGGCCGGACAGGAGCCGGCAAAAGTTCCCTGATGACAGTGTTGATGAGACTGGCTGAGCCCACAGGTACCGTAATGATAGACGGTATCAACACAGGCCTGATAGGACTGCATGACCTCCGCAAGAAAGTCTCATTCATCCCACAGGTAATGAAAGCCCATTAGCATTGGTGGCATGGGTGGCTTGTGCGTAAAGCGCTCGCCTCTCACCAAGGTGACCACGGCTCGAATCCCGGCCGCGGATCACATGTGAGTAGAGTTGTGCGTTGGTTCTCCCCTGTGCAACGAGGGTTTTTCTCCGGGACCTCCGGTTTTCCTCCCTCTGGAAAAAAATCAAACACTTTTCTCACCTAGGCTGTGCTCCGTAGTCGTATATGGGTCGATGTGGCCGGCAGCCATAGGCGTCTTTACGTGCCAGCGGCCCTATCACGTTGTAGCCGCGTCCTCTGCAATTCAGCATACCAGCTGCGAGTAAGGATGATTAGCCTCCCCAAATTTATTATAATTATTTTTATAACTTAGCAAACTGTACACATGTTCAGTTTATCACCTCGAGTAGGCCTACGCCATGAGCTTTTGCTACTTTTCTGGAAAGGTTAGGGGTGTTAGTTCTTTTTTAACGTCGAACATAATATCTACGTATCTGCTTTTAAAACTAGTTCGTGATATCGTAGAACCATTTTTTTTGTAACCTTGTGTGTTTTTTTGGGTTCCCCATGCTCAAAGGACCCGGTTCTATTCAGCGGAACACTTCGCAAGAACCTGGATCCTTTCAGTGAACACTCGGATTCTGATATATGGAGGGCTGTTGAAGAGGTACGCTATGTGTTCTGCTTTCGTCTATGCCCTGTTTGTTCATTCAGGCTATACTGAGACAATGACACACAAACAAATCTAAAACTGCAGATATAAAAATGCCTTTTTCTCGCACTGGCTTTCGCTCGGTATCGATTTCAGCAGTAGGTAATCTAAACTGTAAACCGAATTAATAATCCAAGATTTCCATCATTGGGGCTTAAAAGCGATGAAAAATGTTGCGACAGATAACTAGACAAATCTCTGGAAGATGGAGAAATGTAGAAAACAAGAAGAGACTACTTGTGGATATGATATTCACTCTTACGAGCGCCTTTTTGTGTCCCAAATTAAAGGTTGAGTTGAAACCAGCGATTGAGGAGCTACCGGACAAGTTGGAGGCAGTCTTGACCGAGGGAGGCACTAATTTCAGTGTGGGTCAGAGGCAGCTACTGTGCCTGGCTAGGGCTATCCTACGCAAGAACAAGATCCTCATAGTGGACGAAGCCACAGCCAACGTGGACATCAGGTGAGTGAACATGCTTAGGAATTACCTGGCAAACGCCATACCCCCGTTTTAACTGAATCAACTGTATCATCCACCTGTTTTATTTCTCATACATACAATCAGATAGCCCGTAAAAAAACTCGCTGGCGCTTTACACTAATCCTGAAAAATAAAATGAGGAAAGACCACTTATAAATATACGCCTATTTCCACCTGCTACTGATTTACAGGATCAGTGTTGATTGAAGAGCTGAGACCATTTATGGTCAAAGTGGATTTCTGGATAAACTGATAGAATTGAAAAGTGGGCTAAACCCCTATTTATATTTGGCGGCGGCTTTTAGAGATCTTATTATTGTCGTAAAAATATTAAGTTCTTATTTTATTTTTTATTTCCTTCCAATAGAACTGACCGCTTGATTCAGGCAACCATCAGACGGCGGTTCAAACACTGCACAGTTCTGACAATAGCTCATCGTCTCAACACAATAATGGACTTGGACAAAGTTATGGTATGACTTCAGGGCATACGAGATTTAATAATAGAATGTTGATTGACCAACAGAATATACTGTTTTCGCATTACGTCGGTCGCACCACGAACCGGCGTATCTACATTTTTGGCAAAATGGAGTTTTCGTTATAAACGTTTATATTGCATCGAAATGCTCCTCTTCACATAGTATTAATCTGATCTGAATATCAAAAACACTCACCAGACTCTGCGGTATATCTCTAAAAACTCCGAAATCATTCACAACAATGTGACGTTTTACGATAAAACGCTTTATACGCAAATTCCCAAAGTGCTAAGACGTCACCCAAGAGCATCGACATGAAAAGTGTGAATTTGGCGTTTCACGAACCGACGTATCCCGGTCTCTGCCACAATTACGTGCATTGTAAGGAATACGATAATGTTTCACGAAGTGACGTGTATCTTGAAAACCGAATTTCTTAAAAACTAAGCAACTAAGATGCACACGGATTGCATACAATAAAGTTTAAATTGGGATACGTCGGTTCGTGGTGCAACCGATTTTGTAATACATTGTGATGTGATGTGTTTGATTGATCCATCCAAAATGTCGGGTTTTTTAACAATTCGGAGGAGATGTGTCTTTTGATTCCCGAGGTGATCATTAAGTCTTGTTGCTGTTTTTCAGGTGCTTGACGCAGGGCAGCTCATCGAGTTTGACGAGCCTTACGTTCTGCTTCAGACGAAAGACAGTATCTTCAGCAAGATGGTGCAAGAGACCGGCAAGGCAGAGGCAGCCAAACTCCTGCAGATCGCCAAAAAGACCTCATCGACACTGAAGACGTTGACGAACCTATCTACCTCTTAACCTTTACCAATAAGGAGTATCTTTTTCGGCTGGGACGGGCTACAAATTCCCAAAATATAATATTGTGTTCAAAACAAATTGATTTACATGAAACCATGTAGTGTATTTTAATTAATTTCGTAATTGATTAATAAATCTTATAAAATATTATATAGCGTCGAATCCGCCAAGTAAAATGATCATGGCGCGTTCAACATCATTAAATGATAACTGTAAGGTTTCACAGCAAAAATTAGTGAAATTCAAACTGAAAAGAAAGGAGAGGTGAACAAATTTAAATAACTGCAAAGAAGACGTTTGTCGTAATTCAACTCTTGGGTTGTTCCAGAGGCAAACGCATGACAAACGTTCCATGGCAAACGCATGATGGAGCACTGCATTGTGAGAAGCTTTTCATGTGGACATGATTTACAGACGTAGATACGAGTTTGCCGACACGAGCCAAGATTTGCAATCAACAATGACTAGTAGAAAATGCAGATGAACCTATGCATGCCTGTCTATACATGTGGACACCCATCGTTGCCCAATGATGTTGATATGGTCATGGACGAGGGAAGCGTAAATTGTATTCCCAGAACAGTTGGGGCCAAGTCATGCATAATTCAGTAGTTTCAATCTGCCAGGTATGTTTATTCATGAAAACAGAACAATGTTATCAAGAACATTGTTGTTATTTAGTCAACCAGTTACGTTAGAGCATTTGAAAGTGCGGCCGTCGTCGAGTTACCGCAGGAGCCTAGCTAGTAGATAACGAGATGAGCTATGGATATAAAGATCCCTGGTTCGAATCCACGTCGTTTTTATCAACTTTTTTTTTCTCTCAATTTATCGTTGCAATAATTTTAATTTAACCCAAAGTGCCTTGCAAGTGCCTTGCAATGATTCAAAGGAAAAACTGAACTGTGCATGATTAGGCCCCAACTCTCCAAAATTGCGCACGCAGGAAGTGACTTACCATTGAATATGAATTGCGCCCCCTATTGTTTTCAAACGATATTGAAACTATCAGGCAGTAAGTTCTTGGAAGAATCCATGGAGGGATTCGGGCATATGGTCACCGTACACTCACGAAGACCCCTTCAATTGAGAAACCGTTGTGTTGCTACTGTACAAAGCAATTGCTCTGTGGCGGATTACCTGAATAGACAACACAATGATTTTGCAATTGAAGGGGGCCTTTGTGATAGAATTACTAGCGTGCCCAGATTGGACTATAGCAAACAATTGTATGCATCAATGAAACTTGCTTTTAGGTGTGTAGTCAAAATTGCATGTTTGTAGTTTCCCCACCATCCTTTGAAGAAGCATTATTAGATTTTGTTGTCAGATCAGTTATTTGTCTACAGGTGACACGGAAGGTAATCTCGGTGTGTTACGCGCCGTGTCTCATAGCTTTAGTAGTGTCTGCAGATTCTATCTTAGTGACACTCTTTAAGAAGCTGAAGGGTTAAACAACACATTTTGTGGCATTCCAAATCGTTTAAATTACGAATCCGGAAAACTTATCGTTCGGCTTGCCAACTAGCGTTGACTGAAATATATTGTTTGTTTTATTTATTATTTTTTGGCAATTTCGGAGATACAGTAATTTGGGTTTGGCATGCAGCTGTTCTTTTATCGCAAAGTTAAAGTTCTTCTTAATGATTAAGGGTGTCCACTGCCGAGATCAAATGTGATCATGGTTTTCAAATTATAAATAGGCCCAGCCTATCCAACTAAACGCATCCAAACCTGTCAACCCAACCAAACTCAAATAAGCCATTTCACCTAAATAAGCCTAACTCAGGACAAAAACAAATTAACATAATGTGTTATCTTCAGTTGTTGTTATATTCCTGTTTATTGGTTATGTATTGCATATAGTTTGATAATCAAATTCTACATATTACGCTGAACGACCTCATCATCGATTTACACGATGCACTTATGCACTACGTTTTTATATCGACGTTGCTGCAGTGAAGTATTAAACGTGAATATTACAAAGCGATCCAAAATATTGGTAATGATTGTAAAGTGAACATTTTTCCCGCAAGATGGTATTGTTTACATATTAATTAGACATAGCAATATACAACAAAACAACAATCACTGACAACCAGGTATGTAGTCGGGTCCATCACATGTTAACCGCAAGTCCAGTCACAAGCTCGGTCACAACTGCAGTCACAAGGCCAGTCACAATTTCAGTCACAAGTCCAGTCACAACGCCAGTCTCAAGGCCAGTCACAATAATAGACGAAAGGTAATGAAGAAATATCTTTGTCAAATCTCAGTTGTAAAACTTGTGATTTGAATCGGAGGACTTGTGACCGACTTGCGGGGACTGTCAGTGAATTGTGATTGATTCCACTACATCCCCACTGACAACGATTATTAAAAACAACCGAAGCGTCCAAAACAAGATTGTTTTGATTAATAGCACATATCTACTAATACAGTTAATTTAATTTAATGCATGATTTGTTTTCTGATAACTGATGGTTAATTAAGTGATAACAAACATTTTTTTTAGAAGAATTGTAGCTTACTATGTACAAGCCATTAGTTATTTGTGTAAATTATAATCTTTTTAAATCGATAACGACAAAATGTAAATTATTCTAGGGGGAATATGGGGAGGTGAGATTATACATTCAAACATGTACAGCTTCGAATAACCGTTAATGACGATATGCGTGTCTTCAAACTTTTAATTGTGTTGTAGGGAACTCAAACCTAGGTTCGTCAACAGAGTTGAAAAGAAGAAGGGATATTTGCGCATGGTGGCATTAAGCCAGCAGGTGCAAAGTACCAAGATTCCTTTTTTTTTCACGTGTACACATTTGTTTTCATTGCTAGGCATCCGGTGGAGAACATGAATAAACACAAGCACGTTGTTCGTATAAAACCGATTAAACCTCAGGTGTTGGAAGGCGATTTCATGCCGGATTTACATCGTTGACATCGCACCTCGTGAAAAATCTTGATTGAATGCCAGTCAGCCACTGCCAGCTGCTGTCCATCTTATGTAAATGTGATTCCTTGGGGATTAGAGAATGCCAGTTTAGCTGTATGTTACTAGCCCTCCCCCCCCCCCCCGCCCCACCTATTGATTTTCGAAGGCCAAGTGTCCGGAGAAAAAAAAAACTGTCTACATTTCAGATTATTTTTGTGATGAAAACCTCCGCCTGCGAAAATCAGAAACCGAAAGCGATCGTCATGTGGCACAATACAAGTTTACATTTGGAAAAAAATATTGGCAATAAGCCAGTTCATTATCTCGATGAAGTAGTCCAGTTCAAATGTCATTCGGGATAAAATTGGGAGATGTTCCGTTTCTTTGTAAGCTTAGCGCCTCTGAATCTAAGAATATAAGCATACCCGTGCATTAATCTTGCATACATCATATTTTTCGCCGCGTTGAAATGGTGTAAATCGTCTATTATCGACACATAGAATATTTGATATTAGTTTTATCCGGCAAAGATAAACAGTAAGCCTAATCATTAAAGGTGAAATATTTGTAATTTGTGCTCTTTGTTCCGTTCAAGCAACAAAAGTGCTCAAAATCTAAAGAAGGTTGATTATACAACTAACCTGATAACGTTTTAGCCCAGTGAATGCTGTATACTCCGAGAAAACAATTCTTGATTTCAATTCAAAAGCTGAATCATGTTTTGAATTGGGCCTAAATTCAGCGTCCCAGACACGTTCTCACTGAGCCGATTGCAGCTACGCGATGCCACGCACTCGTCCGACGAATTTCAGCAACCGCGCGCGCGGATGCGTAGTGTCAACGATTTCGCGCACTTCGCCGGATTAAAAAACGAACTACTAACTAACGAACTAACACATCGTTGTAAATAGCCTTCTTCAACTGTTTTCTTCAAAATGACAGCTTGCCAGAAAGAATAATGTCACGGGAGTTAAATGTCCTTACTATCTTGAAACCAAGTATGCTTTTTTACAATAGTAATTGTGTCAGTTACTTTTTGGATAGCTGCAAATGATGGACTGTACCGTTAAAGATGTTAAATGCGATTTTATTTATCCTAATATTAATTTGTTTGAACTTTTATGTTTCCTTTTTCTCGAAAAAAAAACAAACTTTGTGTATTTTGGGCGCCTGAAACTCAGAAAAAAAGGCGTGATATTTAGACAGGCCAGTTTTTTGATAAACTGCTTCACATTTGCTGCATTGCTGTTCCTCGAATCAGCAACAAAAAAGAGAGATCAATCTGCGGATAACCTGTTAATTTGTCCTTCACAAACCGCAATACAAGTCTAGCCCCATCTTGGTGCCAAGTCGGTGATTGTTTTGCGTGCGATACCGGGTACAAGCTCCACGCACGCAAAATATCGCTGCAAGGCGCGTAGTCTGGTTCCGAGACCAAATAATGATGACTGTTGATGTTCAATTACCGACTTGGCGAATTTCGTTTTCAATTGTACACAACGTTGCGAGTATTTTGAATCGCTAGCGAATTCGTTGCGAGCACTCTGATTGGTTCAGGTTCCAACGTATATTCTAGGCCGCCACGGAAGATCATTCTAATTACTTATTTATGTACACAATTGACCAAGCTGAGTGCATTTAGTCGTTAAAACGTCGCCAGATCTGCAAACATGTCCCCGACGTATTGAGAAGAACTCCCCGTGTAACGGAACGAATGAGTCCTCATGTGCATAGCGGTGCGCCATTGAATCTCAACGCAAAAATGCACTGCATATGTATTGCGCTGCACGCATACCGGTATATGAATAACTGTGCGAGAACGTACGGTAATTGTCAAGTCGTAAGGGCCCTGTCACACTTCTGCGTATCCCAATTCCTTATGAGTTGCGCATTGACATTTTTTTTTCATGCGCAGTCGTACGCACAATACGCACCTCATATGCATCTCTATCGTTTTGTGTAAGTTTTATGTACGCAGGCATACGCATGGTACGGCCCAGTACGCCGGATAGTTTTGGGCATGCACAAAACTACTGTTACGCAGGTCATAAGTTATAAATGCGCAGCGCATGGGTCCCGCATCTGTCGATCACGGTACGAGTACGCTATGTGTTCGTGGGGGATAAGCGGTTCATA